ACGGGTCTATAATACTTCCTATGTTGCTCAGCTATGTCGTCTGAGCACAGCAATACGCCCATATGTACCTTTGCAGGTATATGTGGACAGTGAAGGGGCACATCTGAGACGCAGCCATTTAAAGAAGCTCTATAGGGTCAGAAACACAAACATGTAGTCCTGACCGTATAGGGTTCAAACGAACATCAAGCCACCCTGGTCCCCTCATGCCTCCCTAAATATAGTAAATATTACTTGTATTCAAGTCTGAAGCTGCAGGCTTTGTGCCTGTTTCCTTTAAACCTGCCTGCTGATATCAGCAAAAGTGGTAGCCTGATCCAATCACAATGCTTCCCTATAGGATTGGCCGAGACTGACAAAAAGGCAGATCAGGGGCAGAGCAAGCATGATTCAAACACACCTATATAATCTGTATATAATAACAGGGGGAATAAAACCAGCTCCCACCTATATAATCTATATATAATAACAGGGGAATAAAACCAGCTCCCACCTATATAATAACAGGGGGAATAAAACCAGCTCCCACCTATATAATCTGTATATAATAACAGGGGAATACAACCAGCTCCCACCTATATAATAACAGTGGGAATAAAACCAGCTCCCACCTATATAATAACAGGGGAAATAAAACCAGCTCCCTCCTATATAATCTGTATATAATAACAGGGAAATAAAACCAGCTCCCACCTATATAATCTGTATATAATAACAGGGGGAATAAAACCAGCTCCCACCTATATAATCTGTATATAATAACAGGGGGTAATAAAACCAGCTCCCACCTATATAATCTGTATATAATAACAGGGGAATAAAACCAGCTCCCACCTAAATAATCTGTATATAATAACAGGGAAATAAAACCAGCTCCCACCTATATAAACTGTATATAATAACAGGGGGAATAAAACCAGCTCCCACCTATATAATCTGTATATAATAACAGGGGAATAAAACCAGCTCCCACCTATATAATCTGTATATAATAACAGGAGGAATAAAACCAGCTCCCACCTATATAATCTGTATATAATAACAGGGGGAATAAAACCAGCTCCCACCTATATAATCTGTATATAATAATAGGAGGAATAAAACCAGCTCCCACCTATATAATCTGTCTATAATAACAGGGGGAATAAAACCAGCTCCCTCCCATATAATCTGTATATAATAACAGGGGGAATAAAACTAGCTCCCACCTATATAATCTGTATATAATAACAGGAGGAATAAAACCAGCTCCCACCTATATAATCTGTATGTAATAACAGGGGGAATAAAACCAGCTCCCACCTATATAATCTGTATATAATAACAGGGGAAATAAAACCAGCTCCCACCTATATAATCTGTATATAATAACAGGGGAATAAAACCAGATCCCACCTATATAATCTGTATATAATAACAGGGGGAATAAAACCAGCTCCCTCCTATATAATCTGTATATAATAACAGGGGGAATAAAACAAGCCCCCACCTATATAATCTGTATATAATAACAGGGGGAATAAAACCAGATCCCACCTATATAATCTGTATATAATAACAGGGGGAATAAAACCAGCTCCCTCCTATATAATCTGTATATAATAACAGGGGTAATAAAACCATCTCCCACCTATATAATCTGTATATAATAACATGGGGAATAAAACCAGCTCCCTCCTATATAATCTGTATATAATAACAGGGGTAATAAAACCATCTCCCACCTATATAATCTGTATATAATAACAGGGGGAATAAAACCAGCTCCCACCTATATAATCTGTATATAATAACAGGGGGAATAAAACCAGCTCCCACCTATATAATCTGTATATAATAACAGGGGAATAAAACCAGCTCCCACCTATATAATCTGTATATAATAACAGGGGGAATAAAACCAGCTCCCACCTATATAATCTGTATATAATAACAGGGGAATAAAACCAGCTCCCACCTATATAATCTGTATATAATAACAGGGGGAATAAAACCAGCTCCCACCTATATAATCTGTATATAATAACAGGGGGAATAAAACCAGCTCCCACCTATATAATCTGTATATAATAACAGGGGGAATAAAACCAGCTCCCACCTATATAATCTGTATATAATAACAGGAGGAATAAAACCAGCTCCCACCTATATAATCTGTATATAATAACAGGAGGAATAAAACCAGCTCCCACCTATATAATCTGTATATAATAACAGGAGGAATAAAACCAGCTCCCACCTATATAATCTGTATATAATAACAGGAGGAATAAAACCATCTCCCACCTATATAATCTGTATATAATAACAGGAGGAATAAAACCATCTCCCACCTATATAATCTGTATATAATAACAGGAGGAATAAAACCAGCTCCCACCTATATAATCTGTATATAATAACAGGGGGAATAAAACCAGCTCCCTCCTATATAATCTGTATATAATAACAGGGGGAATAAAACCAGCTCCCTCCTATATAATCTGTATATAATAACAGGGGAATAAAACCAGCTCCCACCTATATAATCTGTATATAATAACAGGGGAATAAAACCAGCTCCCACCTATATAATCTGTATATAATAACAGGGGGAATAAAACCAGCTCCCACCTATATAATCTGTATATAATAACAGGGGGAATAAAACCAGCTCCCACCTATATAATCTGTATATAATAACAGGAGGAATAAAACCAGCTCCCACCTATATAATCTGTATATAATAACAGGAGGAATAAAACCAGCTCCCACCTATATAATCTGTATATAATAACAGGAGGAATAAAACCAGCTCCCACCTATATAATCTGTATATAATAACAGGAGAATAAAACCAGCTCTCACCTATATAATCTGTATATAATAACAGGGGGAATAAAACCATCTCCCACCTATATAATCTGTATATAATAACAGGGGGAATAAAACCAGCTCCCACCTATATAATCTGTATATAATAACAGGGGGAATAAAACCAGCTCCCACCTATATAATCTGTATATAATAACAGGAGGAATAAAACCAGCTCCCACCTATATAATCTGTATATAATAACAGGGGAATAAAACCAGCTCCCACCTATATAATCTGTATATAATAACAGGAGGAATAAAACCAGCTCCCTCCTATATAATCTGTATATAATAACAGGAGGAATAAAACCAGCTCCCACCTATATAATCTGTATATAATAACAGGGGGAATAAAACCAGCTCCCACCTATATAATCTGTATATAATAACAGGAGGAATAAAACCATCTCCCACCTATATAATCTGTATATAATAACAGGGGAATAAAACCATCTCCCACCTATATAATCTGTATATAATAACAGGAGGAATAAAACCAACTCCCACCTATATAATCTGTATATAATAACAGGAGGAATAAAACCAGCTCCCTCCTATATAATCTGTATATAATAACAGGGGTAATAAAACCAGCCCCCTCCTATATAATCTGTATATAATAACAGGAGGAATAAAACTAGCTCCCACCTATATCATCTGTATATAATAACAGGAGGAATAAAACCAGCTCCCACCTATATAATCTGTATATAATAACAGGGGAATAAAACCAGCTCCCACCTATATAATCTGTATATAATAACAGGGGGAATAAAACCAGCTCCCACCTATATAATCTGTATATAATAACAGGAGGAATAAAACCAGCTCCCACCTATATAATCTGTATATAATAACAGGAGGAATAAAACCAGCTCCCTCCTATATAATCTGTATATAATAACAGGAGGAATAAAACCAGCTCCCACCTATATAATCTGTATATAATAACAGGGGGAATAAAACCAGCTCCCACCTATATAATATAAACAGTATGTTTGGTTTTATTGGCTGTTAATGTATATAAATGGGTTCTCAGTGTTACTTTGTTGCTGTGTCTCTGAGTTACACCCTGCATGCTGGGAGCTCTGTATATGGAGCTCTGTATATGGAGCTCTGGGTGCAGTGAGGGCAGGTAGAGGCTATATATTACCTGATATGGCGCTGACATGAGCAGTAACATTCCCAGTAGAAGCAATGTTTGCTGGGGGTCTCAGGGCGCTCAGTGCTGGGTGAGGGCTGCTGTTGTTGTGAAGCTGTTTGCCTTCAGAGCTCCACCAGGCGGCGTGCTGCGCTCAGAGCTCAACTTATCCTTATAGGGACTGTTCATCCACTGCACCTTCCTCTCTATGGTAAGTGGCCGCCGCTCATTCTTCTCTAGCACCCGTGCTTCCTCTCTATCGTAATTAGTCACCTCTCCTTGAACTCTATGGTATCTGGACACATAGCCTTCCTCTCTATGGTAACTAGACAAAGCTCTGTCCTCTCTATGGTAACTATAAGCTAGCCCTTCCTATCTATGGTAACTAGACAAAGCTCTGTCCTCTCTATGGTAACAATAAGCCAGCCCTTCCTCTCAATGGTAACTAGACAAAGTTCTGTCCTCTCTATGGTAACTAGCCAAAGCTCTGTCCTCTCTATGGTAACAATAAGCTAGCCCTTCCTATCTATGGTAACTAGACAAAGCTCTGTCCTCTCTATGGTAACAATAAGCCAGCCCTTCCTCTCAATGGTAACTAGACAAAGCTCTGTCCTCTCTATGGTAACTATAAGCTAGCCCTTCCTATCTATGGTAACTAGACAAAGCGCTGTCCTCTCTATGGTAACAATAAGCCAGCCCTTCCTCTCAATGGTAACTAGACAAAGTTCTGTCCTCTCTATGGTAACTAGCCAAAGCTCTGTCCTCTCTATGGTAGTTAGAAGCCAGCCCTTCCTATCTATGGTAACTAGACAAAGCTCTGTCCTCTCTATGGTAACTATAAACCAGCCCTTCCTCTCAATGGTAACTAGACAAAGCTCTGTCCTCTCTATGGTAACAATAAACTAGCCCTTCCTCTCAATGGTAACTAGACAAAGCTCTGTCCTCTCTATGGTAACTATAATCCATCTATTTCTCTCAATGGTAACTAGACAAAGCTCTGTCCTCTCTATGGTAACTATAATCCAGCCATTCCTCTCAATGGTAACTAGACAAAGCTCTGTCCTCTCTATGGTAACAATAAGCTAGCCCTTCCTATCTATGGTAACTAGACAAAGCTCTGTCCTCTCTATGGTAACAATAAGATTGCCCTTCCTCTCAGTGGTAACTAGACAAAGCTCTGTCCTCTCTATGGTAACAATAAGCCAGCCCTTCCTCTCAATGGTAACTAGACAAAGCTCTGTCCTCTCTATGGTAACTATAAGCTAGCCCTTCCTATCTATGGTAACTAGACAAAGCGCTGTCCTCTCTATGGTAACAATAAGCCAGCCCTTCCTCTCAATGGTAACTAGACAAAGCTCTGTCCTCTCTATGGTAACTAGCCAAAGCTCTGTCCTCTCTATGGTAGTTAGAAGCCAGCCCTTCCTATCTATGGTAACTAGACAAAGCTATGTCCTCTCTATGGTAGTTAGAATCCAGCCCTTCCTATCTATGGTAACTAGACAAAGCTCTGTCCTCTCTATGGTAACTATAAACCAGCCCTTCCTCTCAATGGTAACTAGACAAAGCTCTGTCCTCTCTATGGTAACAATAAGCTAGCCCTTCCTCTCAATGGTAACTAGACAAAGCTCTGTCCTCTCTATGGTAACTATAATCCAGCCATTTCTCTCAATGGTAACTAGACAAAGCTCTGTCCTCTCTATGGTAACTATAATCCAGCCATTCCTCTCAATGGTAACTAGACAAAGCTCTGTCCTCTCTATGGTAACAATAAGCTAGCCCTTCCTATCTATGGTAACTAGACAAAGCTCTGTCCTCTCTATGGTAACAATAAGATAGCCCTTCCTCTCAATGGTAACTAGACAAAGCTCTGTCCTCTCTATGGTAACAATAAGCCAGCCCTTCCTCTCAATGGTAACTAGACAAAGCTCTGTCCTCTCTATGGTAACTATAAGCTAGCTCTTCCTATCTATGGTAACTAGACAAAGCGCTGTCCTCTCTATGGTAACAATAAGCCAGCCCTTCCTCTCAATGGTAACTAGACAAAGCTCTGTCCTCTCTATGGTAACTAGACAATGCTCTGTCCTCTCTATGGTAACTAGCCAAAGCTCTGTCCTCTCTATGGTAGTTAGAAGCCAGCCCTTCCTATCTATGGTAACTAGACAAAGCTATGTCCTCTCTATGGTAGTTAGAAGCCAGCCCTTCCTATCTATGGTAACTAGACAAAGCTCTGTCCTCTCTATGGTAACTATAAACCAGCCCTTCCTCTCAATGGTAACTAGACAAAGCTCTGTCCTCTCTATGGTAACTATAAGCCAGCCCTTCCTCTCAATGGTAACTAGACAAAGCTCTGTCCTCTCTATGGTAACAATAAGCTAGCCCTTCCTCTCAATGGTAACTAGACAAAGCTCTGTCCTCTCTATGGTAACTATAAGCTGGCCCTTCCTATCTATGGTATCTAGACAAAGCTCTGTCCTCTCTATGGTAACAATAAGCTAGCCCTTCCTCTCAATGGTAACTAGACAAAGCTCTGTCCTCTCTATGGTAGTTAGAAGCCTGTCCTTCCTCTCTATGGTAACTAGACAAAGCTCTGTGCTAGACACATACCCCACATGATACGTTGGTAGGATTGTGGCGCCCAACGTTCATGCTCCTGTCCAAGCGTGGTCTAGGACTCAACTGATGTACACCATGTCTTTCCTCTCTTTGGCGGTGGCTGGGTCTGAAAGTATTAGAGATGCTAGACACTGCACGCCAGAGCCTTTTAATGCTCCATATGACCTACGTGGTTCTGATGATCAGGAACATGTGTGTAACGTTACACAGACATTTTCTGATGTCACATGATATGTAGTGTCCAATCACAGATGTTCTTAGGATATTTAAACATATTGTGAGTGAAAAAGCGGAATGGTTGTTGAAGGAAGATATATCAGGCCTGTTTTGGTAAACAGCAGCCAGAGAGTTTTCAGTTAACCCCTTAAGGACGCAGCTTCAAAAACTGGACCTACCCTTAAGGACACAAGCATTTTTTGCTGTTTGTGTTCAACCTCTGTTTGCATTTTTCTTATTTATTGCACCAACACATGTTATATATCATTTTTTAAAGGACAAAAAGGGCTTTAACCCCTTAAGGACACATGAGACATGTCATGATTCCCTTTTATTCCATAAGTTTGGTCCTTAAGGGGTTAATCTGATGTGACATATACATATATAAATTCTTATTTATTATAAAAAAAATGTTTTTTGTTCACAGTTTAGGCAAAAATAACGTGTGTATAATAAGTGCAGCTTAAGGAAAGCAATTAAAAAAATATTCAATTAGTTGTTCTGATTTTCAGAGTACATAATATGTCTAGGATTTCAGCTTATTTTGAAAGTTACAGGTCACAAAATACAAGGAGTAAAATAAAATTTTAATGTGGAGCTATTTTAGAATTTGGTATGTTTGTCTTGTAAGCTTAATAGCCATCACAGAAAGCAAAATTGCCGCACAAAAGTATATATTTATATAAATCACACATCACATAAAACAAGGATTTTTAATGTGTATTTCATAAAGCTGATATATACTACTGCTGTAGAAAACCCCGTATTGTTTTCAGCCATATCAACTGAGTAAAACGATACCCCCAATCTATGCCTTTGCCACTATCCTGTGAAGTTACAGTGCCATAAAAGAGACCTGACCATTTCAGTTTTCACAGTTATAATTTTGATAGATGAATTTGATGGGGGCAAGTCTTATTTTCGGGCATTGTAGCAGTTTAACTGTTGAATTTATCCCAGTGGTATGTTGCTGCCATCTACTGGCTATTTTCAGTATTGCAGTCTCCCATCTCTTACATTGAAGACATTATGCCCAATGCAATGCGATCTGTGCTGGGCAACTGAAAATACCCAGCACTGATCAGAATGGCATTGGGGCATAGAGGGTGTCCCTCCAGGGTCTGTTCAGATCCTGGGGGTCTCCCAAACACCAGATCACTTGAGAGAATGACTGTAGCTGAGCTTGATTGCTCAGCTGCAGTGTTCTTTGTGGATTTAAATGGCTACATGCAGTGCTGACTTTCAGAACTGCATGCAGCTCATCAAAAAGTCTGGGCCCACTAAAAAAGGCCCCAGCTGGCAGAGGGGACCCCCAGGTTTCTAATGATACCTGGGTTTCCTAGTGTGAGCAGGGATTTAACCCTGCTCACACTGCATTGTGCTCTATGGGGATTTAAATCCCCATTTAAACAGCTGCATGCCGATCTCACTTTGAGCTCTGCATGCAGCTCAGCTGTCAGTCTGGGGACATTAAAAATTACCCCATCTGACAGAGGGGAGACCCAGGTTTCTAATGATACCTGGGTTTCCTGCTGTGAGCAAGGATTTAACCCTGCTTACACCAAAATCTAGATATAGGCATTTAAATTCCTATTTAAGCAGATACATGCCGCGCTGACTTCCAGCACTGCATGTAGCTCATCAAAAAGGCTGGGGTCACTAAGAATAGAGGGGAGCCCCAGGTTTCCATTGATACCTGGGACTCCCTTGTGTGACCAGGGATTTAACCCTGATCACACCAAATTGTAATAGTGGGGATTTATATCCCCATTTAAATGCTTGTTTGCAGCGCTCACTTTGAGCTCTGCAAACAGAGCATCGGTCAGTCTGGGGCCACTAATTCTGGCCCCTGGTGAGAGAGGGGAGCCTCAGGAATCAAATGATACCTGGGGCTCATTGTTACCAGCAAGGTAATAGACCCTGCTGGAAAAATACTGCATGACGGAAATTTTCTGTCATGTGTCCTTAAGGAGTTCAATGTCCCAGGGAGAGACGTTAGTTTGCAATATACATTGTTGATACTATGCAAAACACAGTATGGGTCCCTGGGGCGGAGCATTTGGAGAGCAGGGTGGGCCAGTGCTCTAATAGCACTAGTTGCTATCTAACAGCCAGACCAGATCTTGTATATACCTTAGGAGTTCCAGAGATGTGAACTAATTGATCCTCACCTGTAGCTGGTCAAATTGGCTGGCAGGCTTTTAAAAGAAGGGATCAGCCTGCTGCAGAGGGAGGGAGAAAGAGCCAGAGGAATGGTGTGTTTTGCAGCTATAGTTTGTGATTGTAAATTCCAGTTAGTGATTATTGTGTTTAGTAAGTGCTCAGACAAGAGCAAAGAATTTTGTTTTGTTTATTTTATTTTGGAGCACCTGTATATTTTGCACCAAATAAATCAGATAAACTGAGCTGGATGTGTCCTGGATTTTGATTACACTAGAAGGCTGTGGTTACCATAAGATCTGTGACAAAATCCTACCGGTAAAAGAGGTGGTTTGTTACAATATTTAGACATTTTCTCAATGTCCTTTCATGGTTTCCACTTTGGTTATCCGAGAGCAGGTTGATTTTATTGATTGCTGTATATTTTGACTGTGGCTTGTTATCTGACTATCCTGACTTCTGTATCCCTTGATGTTTGGCTTGTCTACCATTGTTGATTCTCTTTCCACGACCTCAGGCCTGTCCTGTACTATTCTTTATTAATGTTAAATCGTGCCACTCTAAGGTCCAGTAATACGTTTTAAGTTTTCTTTATCTATTTGTTGCTTAAATTCTGCGTGTTGGGCATTAAGATTATCATTAAAAGAACCGTTCCCTGGTATACATAGATGCAGGAAAACAGAATTAATGGATTTCGGGCTTTTGTCCTGCTGAATCCAGGAATGTTGAGAGGCACGGTTGTATCACTGTGTTAAAATACATACATAGGTAGAAAAAACTGAAACAATATTACAACCAACACAAAACCTCTAAAACATTGACGAGTCCTGGACTACATAGTTAAACAATAAAACATACGCAAATAAAAAGATATAAATAAGCCCTGTGCGCTAAATTCAGATAATTTTAGGTGGCCGCAATGACTATAATATTCATCAGCCCAAATACATAAAGTTACCTATGCACAATCCCTATGCATAATTAAAATAATGAAGGTTTTTAGTACCACCTTGATTACACAGTTGAGCTTACACTTTAATGACCATTGCAATTTTACTAAAGATTTCTATTACATAAATGTGCAAAGACATTTGGCATAGTATGTAGAGAACCATTTTGCCCACGAGAAAAAAAAAAAAAAAGTAATAACTGATATACTAAAGGAAAAATAGAGGTGAAAAGGAACAAAGCAAGAAAAAAATGTTAAAAAGTAAGAGCTATGAAGTAGAGAGGGAACTTTAAACAGAGTGTTTTACGTAGGCTGATGATGAAAATCAATCCAGAGAACCCATTTGTGGTATTAGGGGGTTTTAGTTTAAGTGGGGTTAGATGCTGAAGTTGGGTGGGGGTTATATTGAGTGAGATAAGGGGCTTTATAAATAAAAAGAATTTGTGGCGAAAGCCACTTCACCACTGGGGTTTGGAGGGGACTACTTGCCTGCCTTTTACCCTGTGACTATGGCCCCTTTAATTTGTTTTGGCTGAGAGACCCTATTTGTGGCTATTAGGACTTTAAACAATGGTTCTTCGAACTCCTGAACAGTCGAAGTGGCCGCCATTTGACATTCGAACAGGTGGTGGCAGCCATCTTGTTCGCATGGACCAAAACCGCATATAGACTTCAGGGCACTTAGCCGCGATTCTATGGAAATGTCTTGGGCATGAAATCCTGCATGCGCCTGGGCAAAACTATGACATCCATAGAGTTTCTGAACCCCTGATCTGATTGGATTTGGATATGTTGGTCACCCAGATCAGGGCTATCAGGGGATGCAAGATTTGTGGGGATATGCTGTGCTTTGGGGTACTAATTGGACTTTTGTAAAAATGTTAATGTATTTATCTGCCTTAATTATATCACAGGCAGAGGGGAGGGATTGTGTACTGTAGGTGGGGGCACTGGCGTACATACCTGCGACCGGGTGTGTACGCCAGTTTGCCAGCCTCTTCCAGGGGGGCCCAGGAGTTGCCCCCTGAGGCTGGCAGTGATGACACCGGGGGGGGCGGGCGTGCGAGGGAGGGAGCGCTCTCTGCTAAGCTCCCTTTAGATGAAGTTGTTTTGGTGCCTGGCGTGTCCTTGGGGTCGGGGCGGGAGAGACGCAGTGTGACACCCAGTGTATATATATAGCGGACGGATCCCGTCATAGAATAAAGGGAGGGAGGTTTACATTTATTTATTTTTAATCTATTTCCTTTATTAGGATTATTAGAATAGTTTCTCGGTGACGGCTTCCCTCGCTGTTAATTCTCAGTTTAGTGAATATCCCGGTTACCCTCTCTGCCTGGTGTCCCAGCACTGTCTGCACTACTCCCCCTACTCAGCACCAGCAGGCACGGGCACGCCCACTGTGACGTCACCAGGCCCGCGCTCACAGACTGGTTGTCAAGATGACGAAGCCTCGTGCACTGCGCGTGACAGGCGGCGCCCAGGGTGGGATTTACCATAGAGAGGGCTAATTACCATAGAGCGGAAAGAGCGGCCGCCAATTACCATAGAGCGGAAGGAGGTGTGGCTACGTGCCATTCAGAGGGGGAAGGCGGCGGCGAATCAGCCGAGAGGAGCCTGTGTGGTCAGATCGCATTGCTGGTGAGTTATAACGGAGATATAAAGCATCGCGGGGGATTGTGGGAGACTGTGTGAGATCCCCGCCTCCCCCCCGGCGGGTTGAGCTCCCACACAGAGCGACCCATCCCCCCGCTCGCCGGACACGGCGCGCGCTCTGCCCCCTCACACAGAGCAACGGCCGCTCACAGCGCGAGCTCTCCGCGTGCACAACCCACGCTGACACGCACCGCACTGTGACGTCACCGCGCCGAGTCTCCGCCGCTGCTAGTCAGAAACACAGCCGCGAGCTCCCCGCTCCAGGGCTGCAGTTACCATAGAGAGGGAGGCGCGGCTAGGAACAATTACCATAGAGTGGAAGGAGCAGTGGCTAGACAGTCTCAGTAAGGCATTTTCGGCCCTTATTGTTGTAGGCTGGGCCCCGCCGCCCGGTAATGCCCACAGCCCGGGTTATATAGCTCGGAGACCGGCAACACAGAGCTCAGTGACCCCGGGGGACCGCCAGCTACACTGATACCTGCACAGCCTCCACCCCAGAGCCAGGACAGGTAATGATGATAATAATAATAGTATTACCACCACCACCACCACCATCATCATTCACTCTGCTACACAAACTGTGACTGGAGTGAGCTCACTGTATGGAATGGCCAAGACACTATGATGGGGGAGAGAGCTACTATATAAATATTATGAGCTCTGCAATAGGAATATTACTTGATACAGTATTCATATACAATCCATATTTCTGAAATAATGAAAAGAATAATCCATGTTATTAGCTCCATAAATTAAAGGATCACTATAGTGTCAGGAAAACAAACCCGTTTTCCTGATGCAATGTCATCCTTGGGGGGACCCTCACCCTCAGGGTCCCCCTCAGCTACTTACCTTAATTCAGCACTGGTGACCTCTCCTCCCCCTTCGACGTCAGCTCCCCAGTGGAGCGGAATGCACATGCATCCAGCGTTGCAGAAGCATCTCTAACGGCAGTCAGGAAGGCAGCCACTAGAGGCTGGATTAACCCGGCTATGTTTACATGTGATGGGAGGGACCTGGCACCCAGACCACTTCGTTGAGCTGAAGTGGTCTGGGTGACTATAGTATCCCTTTAAGTTAACTCATTCAAATTGGCTCTTGTTTCTGTAAAGTAGTATTTTCTAAATAACACATTTGCCACTTAAAGAACCACTATAGTGCCAGGAAAACATACTCGTTTTCCTGGCACTATAGTGCTCTGAGGGTGCCCCCACCCTCAGGGTTCCACTCCCGCCCGGCTCTGGGGAGAGGAAAGGGGTTAAAACTTACCTCTCTCCAGCGCCGGGCGGGGAGCTCTCCGTCTCCTCTCCTCCCTTTCGGCTGAATGCGCACGCGCGGCAAGAGCTGCGCGCGCATTCAGCTGGTCTCATAGGAAAGCATTTACAATGCTTTCCTATGGACGCTTGCGTGTTCTCACTGTGATTTTCACGCAAGCGCCTCTAGCGGCTGTCAATGAGACCGCCACTAGAGGATTTGAGGGCTGGATTAACCCGTTTATAAACATAGTTTCTCTGAAACTGCTATGTTTATAAAAAAAAAATGGGTTAACCCTAGCTGGACCTGGCACTGAGACCACTTCATTAAGCTGAAGTGGTCTGGGTGCCTAGAGTGGTCCTTTAAAGGAGGCATCAAGATGTCACCTTCAAATCAATGCCATTTAAACTAAATCCACCTTGGCCATGTTGGCATTGCTTTCTATAAACTGGGGACCCTTCTTTGTCATACAATAATATTTAGCATGAACCAAACCATGTTTCATATTTAAAAAAAAAACAAAAAAAAAAACCTGGCACCATCAATTCAGGGATTTCTGAATAAGTAACCGAGGTTTTACTATATGAAAACCATCTGGGCTCACCCAAAATGTCATTGATTTCAATACACTGGGTACCCCTCTATATCATCCAACAACATTTAGCCTGAGCCAAATCACGTTTCATATAAAGAAAAAACTGGCACCAAAGTGGCACAATCAACTTAATGCATTTCAATGGGGATTTTTTAATAAGTAATCAAGGTAATCTTATTTTAAAAACATCTTGGCTCTCCCAAATTTTTACATTGATTTAAATACACTAGGCACCCGTCTGTATTATAAGTGGATAAGTGCTGGAGTTGTTTTAAACATCAAAGAAACATTTATGGGTTGACACATTTCGGTGCACTTATGTGAATCGACTGGCCCTTTATATTAGTCTATTCAGGAATCACCTGAGATTTTGGTGCCTGAACTCCTCTGACGTGGCAGTGGTGCATTGCCATTCTTTGTGGCCGTCCACACTGAACATGAAACCGTGATACATGTGGCATTAAGCTGAAGGGTACATATAACCTAGGCCCCTCAAAGGGATGCATTGATTAAATTTTGCCGCGCATGTGCAATAGTCTCCCGATGTTTTTCTATTGGATTGCCTGAGATCATCAATATTGATAATCTCACCAATTGAGGTGGGTGCAGCACGGCGTGGGGGAAAGGATGAGTAAAAACACCTTTCCCATGTGATTAGGAAGGGGCAGGTAACCTAAACATACACACTGATTTGATACGCACGCTCACTGGCACACATCAACACGCATACTAATTTACAAATCAATACTTTTTATTATTTTAAACCCACCCAGCTTCCCTACCTTTTTGGAGAGCTGGCGTGGATTGGCTTTCCCTGGGGTCCAGTGGGGCTGCTGTCATCTCTCTGCTCTGCTTCCTAGAGTACTGTTTAGTGATGGGTGGCCAGAATGATGTCATTTTCCAGCTCCCGGCATCACTGGGGGGCACGCAAAGGAGCAGAGCACGGAGAATACAGCTCCCTCAAGCAACCGAGGGAGGCGGGCCGCGTGCGGCTGATTGAGGAAGCTGTATTCTCCCTGCTCTGCTCCCTTGCGTGCCCTCCAGTGATGCGGGGAGCCGGAATATGACGTCCCTCAATCAGCAGTCTGTTTCCTTCCCTGAGCTCTCAATGAGCCAACCGTCTGCTTCCAATCATCTCGCTGTAGAGGCTCACAAATCCCAGGTGCCAGGACAAATTTCCTGGTCGCCATGGCGACTTGGCACATGGTATTTGTTGGGCCCTGACATATTCGGTTGCCCAGTGTATTGAAATCAATGGTATTTTGGGTGAGCAAGGATGGTTTTCATATAGGAAAACCTTGGTTACTTATTTAGAAATTCCCATTGAAATGCACTGTTTTTGGTGCCAGTTTTTAACCAAATTTGTGGTTAAAAAGTCTCTTTAAATACAAGGACATCCTCAAACACGTGCGTGTGTAATGGACCGCCTGTACCCAGAGTCGTACCTCCGCTGTAGATTATGCCAGGTCCCGTAGCGAATCAGTGATTATAAATCTTGCATACCCAAACATCGGTCGAGACTTGATGAAGGGTGCAAAACAAACTGGTTTATTATGGACAAGTTGCCTGTTTGTATCCACGACCCCCAGCATTGGGTCTTCATTCAATACAACAGTAAGCCCGCCCAGGCGTCTCTGTGTCTGGGATATAAGTGAGTTTGCTTTTGCTTAAACTAATTATCTCCCAGACACTCAATGTACAATATAAAACACCCCAAAATACAAATAAGATAGATGGGAACCACCACAAGTCATATATCCCCAGATCTGAGCACCCAAGTTATCCAAAGTTTTGACTGACCGCACACATGACTGCTGCCCAAAATAGTTCCTGGAGAAAAGGGGAGCAAATGTTTTCCTCGTTCGGAAGTGTCTTTCCCTCTGAAAAAGCACTCTCCTGGCTTGTCTATGACAAGGTACAATTTTCCCAGGGTTCGCGAGGTAAAGTATCAAGAAATATAGTTCCACGCACTCTATGACCAAGTGCCTGCCTGTGTTCGGCAGACAAATTCGCCACTATTTACTAGAGAACATGTGTTTCGCTTATACGAATGGCGGCCAAAGAGAGAGAGCACTTGAATTAATTGTTTCTTTGACGTTAATGAGCCAGGGGGGTGATCTGTGTTCGGTAGCATGAAAATTACAAACCAAAGGGAAACATATTGTTTTCGGTTAAATGGGGAAAACAAAATATATGGATGTTTTTCACAATAGTCTTTTAGGAGTGAGTTAATTACTGTGTGTATGTATGGGTATACGTATGCACACAAGATGGGCTTCTTAATGCTGTAAATGTATCATTATTAATCATCCTCAGATTACATCACATTGACGTTTCAGTCCATAAGAGGACTTTGATCAGGATAACCCCACTGAACAAAATACCAACCATAAATGGCATAGTGCAGAATATTACAAAGTGGGAAGTTCCCTCCCCCTAGACAAAAGTAATACCTGTGGTGTGTTGCACCATGGCACATACTTCACAAATGTGTGTGTGTGTGTATATATATATCTCTATGTCTCGGTTGTTGGAACTGGGTCCCTGTGCACTAGGTATCGACCAATATTAATATTTTATTTTTTTTATTTTTTTTTAGGCCGATAACTTACCAATATTCTGTACATTTACCATTTAAAAAAAAAAAAAAACTATTTCTACACAAATCTACTGTTAACTGAACATGTTTGTTTATTTTTTGCAAATCTTTTTATTTTTGGTTACCAGCTTGTTCTTGAAAACCTGGCAAGTCTCCGTGCAGCAATACTGAATAAACCCCATTACTTTATAAACCCAGTTATTGAGCCTTGACGGCTAATACTCCTTTATATTACCTGTAATTCCATATATTTGTGATTTTTTTTTATTTTTTTATTTTTTTTCTTTAAATATATTTTTAAAATATATATTTAAATTTTTTTTTTTTCCCAGATGGATGTTTACTCAAGGCTACACCTAAAATAGCCCAAATACATATTTTCCTGATTTTTAAAAGAATAAAGAAAGCTGAAAATGTGTGAAAATTAAATAATCAAAGCTATTGGTGAGTACATATGAAACGAGTAAAAGGATTCAACCACACAGAAAATAGCATATAAAAAGAGAGCATATATAACCCCTCAAATATCTGAGTGACTGTGAAGAAGGAAATCTGAGCATTCATACAGTGACCGTTAAAATTATGGAGAATTCAACATGTGAAGCAGGAAATCGTAAAGATACACGCCAAGGAGGTAGACCATCTACTATTAAAAAATCAACCAGTTGCACAGTTCGAAGGTTGAGTAACATTGTTGTGTACACACATATGGGACAAATACAAAAAGAGTACATTGTGGAGGAATTGAATGATGACGGAAATCTCTCTGATACGGACATATCTGAATCCATAGTACAAACACAGACAGAATGTGTAACTACTTCTAGCAAGAATGCACTAACTTTGCATGAAGAAAGTGCGGCAGATGGTTACAGTGACTCAACTATGGAAATTATAACTGTTAACGTTACAGACTGTATCAGTGATGACGCACAAAGAACACACAGGGAGCCGCCATTAAATGCGCGTAGAGGGGATGGTAAGACCAACCGTAATAAAGTGAGTGGTAAATCTCGGAAACAAACTCACACCTCCCCAAAATGTCAGAAAAGTGTTACTAGCAAATCAAATCAGACGGGACAAGAAGCCAAGAATGTGGCTGTACCTGAATGTGTAAAACAGCCCTCTGATAATTCAAATATTGTAAAACAGGAATTTAAAACAGAAGAATTATCATTTGATAACATAAATTTAACCGGGCAATCAGCAACTGTTAAACAGAGAGGCAACAAGCGTGACCAGCGCTTTATATGTACTGACTGTGGGAAATGTTACAATAGCCATTATAATCTACTCATCCATCAGAGAATTCACACGGGGGAAAACCTCTCTGCGTGTGCTCAGTGCGGCAGGTGTTTTACCAATAAAAGAATTCTTAGTATACATGAGAGAATTCATACGGGAGAGAAGCCGTTCTCCTGTTCAGATTGTGGGAAAAGTTTTGCTGATAAGTCAAACCTTGTTGCGCATCAGAGGATTCACACTGGCAATAAACCATACTCCTGTATGGTATGTGGGAAGTGTTTTACTGATAAGTCCAACCTCATTGCACATCAGAGGATTCACACAGGAGAGAAACCTTTCAAGTGTTCTGAGTGTGGGAAAGGCTTTTCACATAATGTTAATCTTGTGACACATCAGAGAATTCACAGAGGTGATCGGCCCTACGCTTGTTCTGAATGTGGAAAATGCTTTACTGATAAATCAAATTTTGCCAAACATCTAAGAATCCACACAGGAAAATCAAATGCTACATCCTGAATAAGCAATATGTCTCATTTACTTTTAGGTTACTACTACAACTAGCTGTTAGTGTTATATAGCTTACTGTTCCATATAAACATTTACAGATATGTTTGGGTTTTAATAAAGTACATTGAAATGATAACACTACATGTAAGGACTAGTTGTATTTACATCAATATCAATCAGAAACTATGTAATGCCATTCCTTGGATATATTCGTATATATTGTCAGAACCCAGCTAAGGTTCTGATTAAAGGGGAACTTATACGTACAGAAGTTTCTTTACTAAAATCAGGATTTTAGGTGAATTTGAAATATAAGGTCAAATTAACCAAATTGGAAAACATTCTGTTAAAATTCACTTTGATTTCTCACTATAGTAAATGGTCCTGCCTTTTCTATATTTACAACAAACTAACTAAACATTAGCTATGGGATGTGTTTTGTTGCAGGAGTTCTAACGTTGTGCTTTCAGATCCTTGCAAATGACGTAAATCAGTTTGTCATACATTCTTACTCTGCTACACTCAGTTACTCAAACACATTTTTGCAAATTAAATCTGAGTGGCAAAATGATCCAAGTTGTCAATGTGAAGGAGAATTTTTTTTTTTTTTTTTTTAGATAAGCAATTTTTAGTTCAGATTTAACATTTATATTTAATTTGTGAAAATCTTGAGTTTAGTGAATTTCCAAATTAAAGTATGGTGCAGAAGAAAGAAAACTGTCCGTATCAGAAAAGATACCGATCCTCCATGTGGACTGCAGGGTTATTTCATCAGATACAGTGAAATATGGTGGATAGTTTAGACTCCAGAATAAAGTATCACGCACAAGAAATCAGTTTATTGCTAGAGATCAATAGGTTAGGAGAGTTAGATGAAAAAAATGGTGAGGTTTTGTTTTCCTGTGCATTCAGCTGAGTTATGGGTTTTCCTGCTAGAATATATTGGAAAAGAACTTGTTTTAAAAAGTTATTTTATGTGGTCAGTCGAGACACCATCAGCTTCTAACAGTTCTTGGACAGTCAGTGCTTCCTTATGTGATCTAATGAGCTTTGGCAGAGATAATGAAGACCACCATCTGCATCCTGACCAGCATGAAATAGCAGTGAGAAAAAAGTATGTGAGAGATGGACGAGCAACAAATGAGGGAAGGGATATAGAGAGACCACTAGGTGCTGGGATACATGGGTGACACGTGACCGAGGAGAGACACAATGAGGGTGGCTGGAATGCAAGGGAGAGACAGGGGGATAGGGCAGGTGTACAGAGTAAAGAACTAGCACAAGGGTGTGGAACAATAAGTAGATGAGGTACTAGCGAGAGATGCAACTTTGGGGACTTGGATATAGATGGAGAGAGACAATTGGTACAAATGAAGCTGTCGTACAAGAACACGTTGATATATAGACAAATGGGTCTTGGTGGAGAAAGAAATGAAGAGACCAGGAACAAACAAAAAAAAAAACATTTGGTGTTAAGTGTGTGACACACTTCTATATTCCTGTATCCACGTAGTGTGCATCACTCTGATATGTACTAGAAATTAATCCGGGCTTTTACACTGAAAAACACGTATTTGCATTAACATATATTTAACCCTTTCAAAATTACTTTCCCTGAATTCTTCTAAATTGACATTGTCACAGATAACTACCTAAAACATTTAAAGCAGTGGTTATAAACAACATAATGAAGGACATATCTGCCATTGTCCACCATACCACTTAACATAAGAACAGTGGTGGGTGGGCCAATTTAAGGAGAAGGAGGGCCTCTCAGAAAAGGGCATGTTAGCCTGGCGTGAACGATGGTTGGCCCCACTAAGGACATTGTGCTGTTACAGTGCTCAGTTCCCTTAGCCTAGTCTGAGCATATCTAATGCACTGGTGCTATGCTTTCAAGAGACTTCCCTGGTGTCTACAAAAGCAGGAAACAAACCCTGGACAGTCAGATAGGAACCCAAAATTAGGACTGGATCACAGAACCGCTCACAAAAGAGAGGTCTTCAGTCCACAAATGAGATCCATGGATTGATTTTCATCATTGGCTTCTTTTAGAGAAAAAACTGTTTAGGGTTCTTACATAGTACCTCTCTCCTTCACCTGTACTTTTTTACACTCCTTTACTTTTCTCCTTTTTTTTTTTTATTCTTTTGTATGTCTCCTTGGTTTTTGTGTTTTATAACAGGCATGTTTCATAGTTTTTAAATGAAACAAACAAAAAAAAAAAAAAACACCTTACCTGCATACTATCCCAAATGTCTTTGAACGTTATATAATAGACATTTGTAATAAAACTACAATGGCCATTAAAGTGAAAAATCACCTATGTAATCAAGGTGGTACTAAAAACCTCAGTTATTTGAAATATACATAGGGATAGTGTGTAGGTAACTTTTTTATGTATTTGGCTGATGAATGCTATAACTATTGAGATTTTGAGCGCAGGGCTTATTTCTATGTCTTATTATTTGCTTATGTTATTATGCTATGTTTTATTGTTAAACTATGTAGTCCAGGACTTGTCAATGTTTTAGAGCTTTAGTGTTGGATGTAATATTCTTGTTTGATTTCCTGATTTTTCTTCCTATGTATGATATCTACTAATAAAATAAAAAATTATTTAAAAATATTAACACATACCTTTGTATTTTAACACATTGACACAGCCGTGCCATCCAACAGGTCCAGACACAGCAGCCTGAAAGCTGTTAGTTCTCTGTTTCCCCGTATCTGGGGACAGCACTGCCTAGCCTGCGCAGTGAGAACTCAGTTACTCTATTATGTTGGATTATGCACAGTTCTTTAGCAGTGCTACTTAAAAAAAAAAAAATCTATTTTCAAAGCAGTAGTCCAATCTACTTGTCGTAAAGTAATTTCAGGGGCCCTACCTAGAGTCCTGGACAGTAACACAGTTATTCACTAAACTTGTTCTTTTGCAAATAAAATGTGTGTCTATAATGTGTGTAGACTAAGTGCTGGCTTTCTGTAATTCGTGTAAGTATCTGATTGGCTGTTCTGTCCCCCTCTGCATTATTAGGTTGTATGATCGCTCGTGGACTAGCAGGAGTAAAAGGGAACCTATAGTACCAAAAATAATCCTTTTTTTGGGACGATACTGTGCCCTATGTCCACTCCTTTGTATTTCGAAAAACATCTTTGTTACATGGTTACATAGCTGCAAAGAGACTTGCGTCCATCAAGTTCAGCCTTCCTCACATATGTTTTTGCTGTTGATCCAAAAGAAGGCAAAAAACCCAGTCTGAAACACTTCCAATTTTGCAACAAACTATGAAAAAATCATTATTGACCCCACAATAGCAGTCAGATGTCTCATTGGATCAAGCAGCTATCACCCCACTAATTAGAAATGATATCCCTGTATGATATGTTTTTGCAAGTATTTATCCATTTGCGGTTTAAACATGAAATGGAAAAATCAATCAAGGTATTGATTATTTCTTTGTGTATCTGCCCCTGGCCAAATCAATGAAACAATGCGTGCACGCTCCCTGAAGTAATTCACACCAGACACAGGTTCTAGGTTGTTGAATAACTTGAGGAAAGTTTATTCAGAGGGGACGGCAGGTCCCTTTTAAAGCAAAATTACACCATAAGCATTGTCAGAGATAACATGGAATAATACATCAATTATTGGTTAGGTGTTAAGTGGTCGCTCTAATGCTCTGCCTACTGAGGGTGATGTCACCAGGGCCATGAGGGTCTCCCACGGTTTCCCGGCGCCATCTTGCTGCACGAGGTAGTTAGTCGGTGTTAAAGGGGAGGGGGGGGAGAAAGGAGGGGATAGAAGCTTCTAGCAGCCATCTTGATTAAAACATGTGTGCATAGCTTATATTATATATCGTGAAATGAGTAAATAGACATTTTCATTAACTAGGAAATATGTGCAGACCTTATTTCCACAACAAAACATCCATATGGACTCTGATTAAACCACCTCTTCAGGCAGAGAATTCCATATCCTTATTGCTCTTACAGTAAAAAAAAAAAAAATTATTTGCCTTAGATGAAATCTCCTTTCTTCCAGCCTAAATGTGTGACCTTGTGTCCTATGTATAGCCCTGTTTTTGTTGCAGCTGCTTGACGAGTACGCAGCAAGTTGGCACACTTCTCCACCTAATTGTCTATATGAGAAGCATAGTGGTTCTTTAAACCTCCGTGGTTGTCCAGTGGAGGAGCATATCGGTAGCACTTTCAGCAGATGCAGACCACGGTAGTCTCTCACTTGCATGCTGGAAATACCTGTGGCCTTACTCTAACCTTATTAGTGAGCTCCTGGTCTGCAAAAAAGGATGTCGGTCAGCCTGGCATGCATTAACATTAGGCTGACACCCCCATTTTAAGGTCACCTCCTGCCCTCTGTGGTTGTTACCTCCTGTCATAGGCATTATTAGTGTCCTGAGTGGCATCACTGGCACTATCCTTTATGTTCGCCTATTGCTCTATCCAGATAGCATACCTCTCATTGTCAGATAGTATACACTGCATTAGATGCAAGTTACAATACTAAGAATAAACAAACATTTAAAAATCCACTCCACACATAGAGCACAGCATTTTCACAAAACAAATGGGGTTGTGATCCAAAGTACCGATGATCAAAAACTAACCATGAAAGCTTTGGGTCATATCCAACCAATCAGCAGCGCTCTGCCCATCGGCACTCCGCACTTGAATCTCAAAATTCAGAAACCCGAAGCCGCCAGGGGAGATTGCAGATCAGCGGTGGGAACAACTTTGGGGTTACACAATTTGAGAACGGTTTAAACCCGTGAGGTAAAATTGCCTCTCGGCATCAAAACAGCTTCATTTAGATGGTTATTTTGGTACCTGGAGTGTTCCTTTAATAATTTTGGGAACATTGTTGAAACATGAATTACTCTGCACAAGATGCCCTTTGAGATCTGCAGATAATGCACAACCGTGATATCTCAAAGGAAGCCTGTAACATTAAGAATCCTTACTCTATAGTGCCTCTGTCCCTAGCTCTTTACAAATGACCCTTCCAACACACATATACATTAACCATAAAAATTAGTAAGTTTAAAGTTTTACTTACATTTTTCCATCATCGGTCTCCATTGGCACTGCTCACCTCTCATGATGTCCTCTTGCGATGTCATGGAGGAAGCCTCTTTTGCGATGCTGCAATCTAATGCTCCTCATAATGGATCATTGGGGACCAGATGTGCATGCACAGTGAGTGCCACTCACACATCCAAGCTTTCCTATAGGAAAGCATTGTATTCAGTGCTTTCCTATGGGGTTCTGTGTCACATAACTGTGTTTTACACAATCAGTGCCATGGAAGCATCTCTAGTGGAACTATATCTCTAAATAAATAGTGGCCATTAAAGGGATACTATAGTTTAAAAAAAAACAAAAAAAAAAACTTTAACATAAAGAAACCGTTTTAATGTATAGATTTCGCCCCTGCAGTCTCACTGCTCAATTCTCTGCCATTTACGCGTTAAATCACTTTGTTTTGCCCTAGACACATCCCCCTGCATGTGACTTGCACAGTCTTCCTAAACACTTCCTATAAAGAGTCATCTAATGTTAACACTTCTTATATTGCAAATTCTGTTTCAATTAAAATTATCTTAATTAGCTTGCTAATACCGTCTGTGGCAAACCATGCCACTAAGAGACTGACAAGAGACTTTAAACCATTCGAATAAACTTGGAGTACAATGGCCGTATAAGTATTAAGGCAGTAATCAACAGTAAATAGGTTCACTAACTACCTGTACTGTGGTTTACACGAAAGCCTGTAAAATACCGAATGAGGGACCACCCCGGTGTGGTTGTGTGTCCCTCATTAACGAAGGCAACAATGTTGCAAAGGGTGCTAATGGAAGGTTCGTGTGCGCCGCCATTCGCATTCCGAACACGTGGCGGTGGCCATCTTACGCACGAACAGCGGTACTTGGTCGTCGAATGCCTGGAGCCCAAATTGGGCATTCGACTAACCAAGTACCGCTAAGACCTCCAGCACGCCAGAAAGTGACGAATAAACCCCCCGAACAACCCAGCATTCGGTATGTTGAATCCCATGAACTAGGGGATTCATACGAATGCCAAGTCAAGCCTGGATGCCAAGGACTTTCTGGACTTTTTATACATGAACAGAGACCGACCGCAGGGCCAGAATTCATGGAACTATTTTCGGCTACTGTTAATCTAAGGGGAGGAGATGTGGGGGAGGTAACAACTATGTGATTGGATACTGTAATAATTATGGAGGTTACCTCCCTTGCATGGGACAAATGCATAAAAGCAGAGTTTGTGCAATAAAAGCCAGTTGACTCCCAGACTATGTGTCGTCTAGTCCTTGGGGAGAGGGATTATGCTGTGTCTTTATTCTTCGGTATGCAGAATCTTTGTTTCCAGCGGAGCATCCTTGGATTAACCCCTTCTACTCCGCTACACCGTCCATTAGCTTCCTGTGTGTGATTAAAGTTCAATTTACAAAGCAGGAGATAAAATGAAGAACAAGTTGGCATCTGACTGAATATGAAACCATATTATTTCATGCAGTCACAGCCAATGGAGGTGAGTCTAAGGCTGCATGGACAGAAACAAAAGTGATTTAACTCCTAATTGGCAGATAATTGAGCAGTGAGACTTCAGGGGCATGATCTATACAAAAAACTGCTCCATTAAGCTAAAGTTGAGTTGGTGACTATAGTGTCCCTGTGAGCGCTCTAACCCTAAGTCACCATAATAATATACCTGTAATAATATGCCAGCCCTTAACACCCTTCCCAAGCACACAGAGTGAATAAAGTGAACTTTAAGAAAATGTTATCAACTGAACTGAAGAGTATTTAGCTAAATGTTTGGGGAAGAACTCCTAATTGGCAGAGGATTGAGCAGTGAGACTTCATGGGCATGATCTAGACACCAAAAGTGCTTCATTAAGCTAAAGTTGATTTGGTGACTAAAGTGTCCCTTTAAGATGTTTTATGTTATAGAGATTTCACCTTAAACTGATCATTTAATTGTCAGGACTATCTTTTCTCTACCCACATTGTAGGGGATTTTAGGACTGTTCCTGTAAATCCACCCCGTGTCCAAAGCGACACTGCAGGCACCATAACAACTTACTGAAAATGGGTAAACCCCAAAGTCCTGCACTGTCAGCTCTGCCCGCAAACTTCTGTTTCAGTTCGAGGTTTCAATCAGGAAACCTTGGACAGGGATGCCACTGACTGACTCAGCTCCCCTTTAACAAAATAGAGTAAGAAGTGTACTGACTGAAGTCTCAGGCTGCAAGCTGAAGTTTGGGAACAGAACTGACCTGTATCGAACAGAAGACATTGGGTTTAAAGCGTTTACTAACAGTTTAGATTGGCGGGCGCCTGGGATCACATGGCACCATAACAATTTCAGCAACCAGGTTAGTGAACCCTTGATAAATAGTTTCTCCCCAAGAGAGCATTTTACCTCCTAGATATTCTGTTCCCTCCTGCTCAATCTAGCCTCCTCTAGTTATTAACATCGAATAACACACGTATCACTCAACATTTGTGTGTGTCTCTGTTAAGTTTCCCAAGGATAATTTGCATAGAAGAGTATAAAATATGTCAAGTATATAACGCAAAAAAGGGTCATATACCCCCCAGGTACCAAATACAAATGTCTAAACACATTTCAACATGCACACCAAAAGTACTGCCAATATAAATGCATATTTATTTACCAAACAATATAACATTTCATAGATCCAACATATAAAATGACAAACAAGGAGTGATACGGCTAGAAATTAAAGATACATTATTCATATTCATATCAACAGCCTACCAGAGCCATACACAAGCCACAAACCCTCCTTTCTCAAAGTAAATCTGTAACACACCTTACCTGTCCATGAATATTTCCCCCTTCAAACAGCTGGTGGCCATCAGCAAACAACCTTGTTCACAAAAATATCGATATAAAAAATGTGACATTCAAAAAGGAGCTAACTGTTATACATATAGCATGAGGAAAGCATTGACCGAGCTCCAGTGCAGATATGATGTGCATCCCGACCCCCCGCTTGCTCATGTACGATATGCACAACCAGCTAAACCTCAACCACGTTATTATTGGGAAGTGCCCAAAACATATTGGCACCTATTATGCACACACACAACACAACATGACAAAAGAGGAGAAGGGCTGCGCCACATATACAACAACAATATTAAGATAATCAGTAAAAGACAGGTATGTCAGTAGTCGAAATCAAAAGATACTAAATATATAGTCCCAAAGTAAACGTTCTCACATCAAAGGATGCCTCCAGTTTAAGAGGTAAACGCGGCTGTAAATGCTTGATAAATGGTCAAATAGCTTTGGAATGGAGGATTGTGACCTCCTTTTCAGATAGCTTTGATATCCATATAAAAGACAAAAGAAAAAGCAGTGAGAGAAAATAGTGCAATATGTCAAACCTAGCACAAGTATAGCCCATAAGGCTTAGAGGCTGGGCTATTGTGACGCGTCCATGGCGCACGTCACATGCTTCGGCTTTAGAAGCCTATATTATCTTTAACAACCCTCGTTTTTACATTCTTTCCACATACACTGATTCACCATTGAAGGCACTTTACACACATATGCTTTTATTTCATTTTTGTGTTCTATAATAGACATGTTGATCTCTGAGTGGAGGCCAGTTAATGATGTAATTTTGGCACCAATTTTAAATGACCCGTTACCTATATAAACCCCATTAAGCCAGGTTGTATGTTTTTACTCCAAGTGAGAAAGCCTATTGACGAAACGCGTTTGGATGTTATTACTTTGTATTTGTAACCAATAGAGGTATTACTTTGTATTTTTACCCAGTGTCACTGCACTCGCATACTGTGCCAGTTACCTTTTTATTTTACATATTTTATATTTCATACTTGGTTCCCTGGCATTTTGCTGTCTACTCCAAGAAATCCTGGGTGGGGATCATACCACCAACATTGATTTCATAGAGCAGTGAGTCTGCTCTACACTTGTGAGTACTACTTTTTTATCTATTTTGAGAATGGGTAGACAGCACCGCCATAGGACCTGATCCAAAATATATTAGGTAAAGTCTTAACGGAATTACAAATAAACTTAGTACACTTAATAAGAGCTTGTCTTTCGTACCTACCTGTAAAGTGATTTGGCAGATGTATAAAGTAGATCAATATATATTCTTATGTAACCTATGACTTACAGCTTTTTCTAATCTACAGATGATGAGGGAAGTATGGGATCCCACTAGGTCTTTATCCAGAGAAGAGCAATCGGCAACAGGAGAGACATCCACAGGAAATACTATCCCCACATAAAACCATGTTCAATCCCTGTTCACAGGCCTTAAACCCAAGGGCTCCTTAAAGCGGCACTGTCATGGCCGAATCCCGTTTTGTTTTTTTAACACTTTGCTACCCCCTCCCGACTCCACTACATCTAACTGTCTCCCTAGCTACGCCCTAATGCCCCTAAGCTCCCCATATTACCTATTTTTTAATCTTTATTTTGTGCCCGGATCTATGGTCTGGGCGCCGCCATCTTTGTGTGGGTAGATGAAGGCCCTGTGGGACACGTCATCTGCCCACACTAGATAGCGCTGTGAGATTCCCGTGCATGCCCAGTTAAAAAAAAAACTAGTACCCCCACCCCCACACCTGAGCAGTAAATGACAATAAGGGGGGGACCTATTGTCCTCCCCCTGGCCCCCACCCCTGAGTGGTGGGTGGGGGCCCTAAAAGATAATGAGGGGGGACTTATTGTCCTCACCCCTGGCCCCCACCCCTGAGCGGTGGGTGAGGGCCATAAATAACAATAAGGGGGGCCTATTGTCCTCACCCCTGGCCCCCACCCCTGAGCGGTGGGTGAGGGCCATAAATAACAATAAGGGAGGCCTATTGTCCTCCCCCCTGGCCCCCACCCCTGAGCGGTGGGTGGGGGCCATAAAGGGAAATGAAGGGGGAGTGACCTATTATCCTCCCCCCGGCCCCCACTCCTGAGCGATGGGTGGGGGCCATAAATAACAATAAGGGGGGACCTATTGTCCTTTCCCCTCTCCTGAGCGGCGGGTGGGGGCCCTTTATGAAAATGCCCCCCTACCCCCTTCTAAGATGACTAGGGATCCCCAAGCCCCTAGTCACCCCTCCACCCAAATAAAAAATAATCCCCTTCCTACTCCCCTCACCCTAAAAATAGTGAGGGGGGAATAAAAGAACTAACTACCTGTAAAAAAAATAAAACTTACCATTTGATGTCTTCTTTTTTCTAAAATCTTCATTTTTCAGCCCCAAAAAAGGCCAAATAAAAACCATCATACCAAACTTGTAAAAAATAAAATAAAAAACCAAAGCACAAAAAAATCTGCCGAAAAATAAAAAACCTGAGCGCAAAAATATCTGACACTAAAAAATTAATCCGTCTTCACCCGGCGAGGGCTCCGCGCAGACTGAGCTCCACAGGGTGGGGAAAGGCTTATAAAGCCTTGCCCTGCAATTAGGCTCAGAACACTTAGTTGACTTGGAATTCAACCAGAGTGCTAGTCATTTTACACAGCGTGGGAAAGTTCATTGGAATATTCCCACGCTGTGTAAAATGACACAGAGCACTCTGATTGGATGGATTTCAAGCTAACCAATCAGAGTGCTGTGACAGGTAAATGTAGAAACGTACCTGTCAGTCTCTTCATTTACCTGTCAGAGGACTCTGATTGGATGGCTTAAACCAACCAACCAGAGTGCTCTGAGCCTAATTTCCGGGGCGGGGCAAGGCTTTATAAGCCTTGCCCCGCCCTGAGGAACTCAGTCTGCGCGGTGCCCTCCATGGGTGAAGATGGATTACTTTTTTTGCGCTCTGTTTTTTTTTTTCAAAGTGCAACGGTTATTATGGATTTTTATTTGGCCTATTTTGGGGCTGAAAAAATAAGATTTTAGAAAAAAGAAGGCATCAAATGGTAAGTTTTGCATATTTTTGTACAGGTACCTAGTTATTAGTCCCCCCTCACTATTTTTAGGGTGGGGGGTAGATAGGGTTTCATTAATTTTGTTGGGAGGGAGTGACAAGGGCTTTGGGGACCCCTAGTCACCTGGGGGGGTACATTTTTATTTAGGGCTCCTCCCGCCGCTCAGGGGTGGGGGCCGAGGGTGGAGGACAATAGGTCCCCCCCTTATTGGTATTTAGGGGACCCACCCACCATTTAGTGGTGGGGCCAGGGGAAGGACAATAGGTCCCCCCTTATTCTAATTTAGGTCCCCGACCCACCGCTCAGGGGCGGGGACTGGGGAGGAAGACAATAGATCCCCCTCATATTCTTATTTAGGGTCCCCACCCACCGCTCAGAGGTGGGGGTCGGACAATAGGTTGTCTCCCCCTTATTCTACTTTAGGGCCCCCACCTGCCGCTCAGGTGTGGGAGCCGGGGTGGGAAGAAAAAAGCCCCCCCTATTCTACTTTAGGGTCCCCACCCACCATTTAGGGGTGGGGGCCGAGGGTGGAGGACAATAGGTCCCCCCTTATTCTAATTTAGGTCCCCCACCCACCACTCAGGGGTGGGGACCGGGGAGGAAGACAATAGGTCCCCCCCTTATTCTTATTTAGGGCCCCCACCCACCGCTCAGAGGCCGGGGGGAAGACAATAGCCCCCCTGTTCTACTTTAGAGCCCCCACCCGCCGCTCAGGGTGGGGGCTGGGGAGGAGGACAATAGGTCCCCCCCATATTCTATTTTAGCACCCCCACCCGCCGCTCAGGGGTGGGGGCCAAGGGGTGGGCAATAGGTCCCCCCTTCAGGTTAGAAGCCCCCACTCACGGGGCATAGGTGGGGGCTCGGGGGGGACTCAGGCTGCTCACTGTTTATTAGACATGCCCCTACTCACGGTAAGTAATCTTTACTTAGTATTAGTAAATTTGTCTGAAAGACCAATTTGGTCTTTCAGCCTTTTGGTAGATAGCTCCATAATTCCTGTCATTCCATTGACTGGCTAAGTAACTTACATTTTATATGAATGTGTGTTACTTGATTGTTGTAAGTGTTGCAAATGCTTACAGTTGAATCCGGCTATGTTTGTATACTTTTTATTTAAACTGGTATACAGTGTAACATTCTTCATTCTTCCACTGGGTATATTAGTACTTCGGAAATTCTGTGCTTCGAAACTTCGGCAATTTCAGAACTTCGGCAATTCAGCTATTCGGACATCCAGAAGTATCCGAATGTCCGAATTGCCTGCAATTCACCTGAATTGACATTTGAAACGAAACGAATTGCACGTGTCTATACTCAGAGAAGGGCTACTAAGCTGGTTCATGGATTGCAGGATAAAACTTACCAGGAAAGGTTATTAACATGTATAGTTTGGAGGAAAGACGAGACAGGGTGGATATGATAGTTACATTTAAATACATAAAGGGAATCAACACAGTAAAGGAGGAGACTATATTTAAAAGAAGAAAAACTACCATAACAAGAGGACATACTCTTAAATTAGAGGGGCAAAGGTTTAAAAATATTAGGAAGTATTACTTTACTGAGAGGGTAGTGGATGCATGGAATAGCCTTCCAGTTGAAGTGGTAGAGGTTAACACAGCGAGGGAGTTTAAGCATGCGTGGGATAGGCATAAGGCTATCCTAGACTTAAGATAGGGACTAATTAAAAGTATTTAGAAATATTGGGCAGACTAGATGGACCAAATGGTTCTTATCTGCCATCACATTCTATGTTTCTACGTCTTGGGCACCAAAAGTGGCATAAGGAGACCAGGTGGCTTGCCTGTGGGAGACTTGGCCTGAGTACTAGACATGTGCAATTCGTTTCGGGGCGAATATGAATTCAGACGAATTTCGGGCAGTTCGGACATTCGGGTACTTCCGAATGTCCGAATAGCTGAATTGTCGAATTACCGAGGTCCCGAAATTACCGAAGTGTCGAAGTTCCGAAGCACAGTATTGCCTAAGTACTAATATACTTACCCAGTGGAAGAAGAAGAATGTTACACTGTATACAATTTTAAATAAAAAGTATACAAACATAGCCGGATTCAGCTGTAAGCGTTTGCAACGCTTACAACAACCAAGTAACATACATTCATATAAAATGTAAGTTACTTGGACAGTCAATGTAATGACAGGGATGAATAAGTAGATAACTCCCTAATTCCCACGGTATTAGGGAGCTATCTACTAAAAGGCTGAAAGACCTGAATTGGTCTTTCAGCCAAATTTACTAATACTAAGTAAAGATTACTTAGTATTAGTAAATTATGCCCCAACTCGCTATACCGCGAGTAGGGGCATGTCTATTAAACAGTGAGCAGCCACTGCTCTCCCTGTGTAGGGCTCCTACGGTGAGTTGCACCTCCTGAGTTTCGTGAGTCACCTTAGGGTTCATGAGTGGCCTGCCATCGAGTGCTTCCACGGCTAGAGATGAGGCCTTGCGTACCAAGGTCATGATGTGGGACTCAATGAAGGACTGGTCTATAAATTTGCCAGCTGCACCTGAGTCTAGTATGGCCATGCCCCTTTTTGCCGCAGTAGAGGCATAGGCCTTCTCTCTTTCTGCGTTGTTTCTCCTCTTCGGGTAACTTAGTGGTTCCTAATTGCATAGGTTCTGGTAGTGGACCACAGGGAGGCAAAGCAGGTAGAGAAGCATAGGGCAAGGTTTGAACCTGCATCTAGTTATAAGACTGTCGCTGAGAACATCTCTCTCTAATGCGGTCTATAACAATGTGATTGTCTATAACAATGGCAAAGACTATTTTTGTCCTTTCAGTAGGAAAGGAGCGTGGGTTCATAACCATGTGTAAATCAACTTGGTTCAGAAACCCACGACAAAGGGCAGGATCACCATTATACCTTTGGGATCGTGTCATATGTACCGAGTGAGGGGAACTTTCCTGAACAGGTATGCTAACAGGAGCCGGTGGATCAACTTGTTGTGCCCCTGGTTGGAGGTGAGCGGTGCACTGCAGAATAGTCTTTAACACCTGGACAAAATGATCCAAGCAGTGGTCTTGCTCCTGCAGCTTGGAATTTTGAGCAGCTAACTGCTGCGCGATGTCTGCTGAGTCCATTTGGCCCTGTTGTAATGCAACGTTCACTCGTGAACCCTAACACGCAGACAGGACAGAGTGGAGAGAATGTCAATACCGATCCTTAGAATGGCCAGGTTATGCAAAAAGGGATAGTCAAAACACAAGCCAAGGTCAAGGGAAACAGAGAGACGGAATAACAAGAGACAAAGCCAAATATCAGTAACCAGGAAATCCAAATAACAAGTGCAACGCTCAATGGTAAACCAAAGACCACAACAGGGCACTGAGGCAATGGAGAGGTTAGCTTAAAGGGATTCTCCAGTGCCAGGAAAACATATTTGTTTTCCTGGCACTGCAGGACCCTGTAGTGCCCCTCTCCCTCCCACCCCCCATCCCAAGTTGCTGGAGGGGTTAAAAACCCTTCAGTGACTTACCGGAGTCCAGCGCCGATGTCACTCGGCGCTGGGTCAGGCTCTGCCTACTCTCCTCGTCGGCAGGGAAGAACTAATGCGCATGTGCAGCCGTCGGCGGGGGAGACATAAAGCGCATGCGCGACAATGGCCGCACACGCACATTAGACCTCCCAATAGGAAAGCATTGTACAATGCTGTCCTATGGGGATTTCGGTAACGCTGGAGGTCCTCACATAGCGTGAGGACGTCCAGCATCATATAACACACTTTTCATGTTCTATTAACACGGAAGTCCCTCTAGTGGCTGTCTAACAGTAATTACACTTGCAGGGTTAAGGGTAGTGGAGTTGGCAGCCAGACCACTCCAAAGGGTAGACGTGGTCTGGGTGACTGGAGTATTCCTTTAAATACACACAGGGTGTGTCTGATTGGCTAATCTCCAAATAGTGTTACCCACATGTGGGAGGAGTTTCTTCCCTCCCTTGTGGTTTCTGAGGTCATCACTGTGTGCCGGGTCACATGACCAGGTGCAGCACACATATAAGGAAGCTGCTCTGGAGCGTGCAGCGTCAGACACGCTGCCAGTCTGGAGACAGGGCCCAGATGATGCAGCTCGCTGTGATCAGGTAAGCAAGGTCACCGCGAACAGCGCGGGGGCAGGGGACCTGACACCTTCCCTGTTGTCCCAGAGTCACTAATATATTGTTTCATAACTACACAACCTTATAAGCATAGTAGCCTTATAAAATACTTCCTTTGTTGCAGAACTTTGGATACAAAGCAGCAATTTCTCATAGGACCATAGACGGCAGACAACATTGTTATCTACTTACTATTAGATAAATTTTTGATAGAACTATCTTTCACATATATTCAGTAACCGCTTGGGAAGAACCAGATCGTTCTATACTACAGTGGTACCTCGGTTTACGTGGTTTGCCATAGGAATGCATTGAAAACCAATTAATCCGTTCTGGAGGTCAGAAAAAAATCAAAATGAGCTGGCATGGAAACCAACCCACAATGCAGAACACACAATAAAAGGTATGCAAACGACAAAGCTCAGCTCCCTCCCTTTTGAGCTTCTGCCCATTTAAAAAATAAAATAAAATTCTAAATTAGTGACTCATCTTGTTTCTTGAAATAAATTAATATCCCCCAAAGCAGAGTCAAACGCTTTAGGATACTTAGACTATTATTCCGCAGTCCTGGTCATTTAGCCAATTCCACTTGTGCTGTCGCCTCCTCTTGGGTCAAAGAAGCAGATATGTCTCCCAGTTAGGTGGCAATCTGGAGATACCTTCACAACATTTCTAAAAAAATAGCTATTTGTGCAGCCTGTTCTATTTTTACATGTTTTGCGGGCCGTTTAGATTAAATTTTAGATGAATTTCTAAATAAAATGTATACTTTGTGGGACAAAGCATTAGCACTATTACTTTTAAATGCTACACTTGGTCTGAGTGAAGCCCGCTCCATTCTTTCACTATTCTTTTTTAAATTCTAGGTCCTAACTAGATGGAAGGAGACTTATCCTTATTGGTGCTACCTAAGCGTAATCAAGGAGTATTAATTCCAAGGTAACAATGGGTGTTTGCTCAGCACAGGTAATGGATGGAGAGTGTGGATACTTTGTATTCTGAGTGTAGTGTCACTCACTACTATTAAAGGCTGTCCTGAGCCGCTCACACGCAACACACTCAAGACACAAACATACAAGTCTGCCTTCAGATTAATAGTTTTATTTGTCTAATTAAAAAAGTCAACACCACAAAACACATGGAACATATCTTGTTCACAGTATTTACAATCCTTTATTTGGGGAAAAGGAGGGGAAGGTAACTCCTATGCCAAAAAAACCCCAAAATTTATAGAATTCTCCTAAGTTTTCTATGGTGACTTTAAAAGACATGCCGGCAATCTGTACAGGATACAAGAATCCCAAAATATAAAAACCTGTGTTTAAAAATGTGTTAACTACAGGGATAACATAGTCACTGTATATACAGAAGTAAAAAAATTCTACTAAACAAAAATACATCTTAGTGATTAATAAAGATCAGCTAAGATCTATGTATAGGAGCAGAGACTACTTGGTGTTCAAGTTCACGACTCATACATTTTATTTATTCAATAAAATTGTAGTGTTTTCTGCAGTTTACCTAGCGATTGGTGTTAGCATGGCTGTAACAGCAACGTGTTTGTCAATGATCTAAATCAAAGTGAATTGTTATTCTCTTTAAGAAAGCTTTGTAGGATTAGATTAACACGTGACATATTTGCATGATGCCATGGCAACACGGTACATGTTTTTGTAAAGGTTCCTAATAATGTCTTAGTAGTTAGAAATATGGTTCAGGAATTCCTGGGCCCTCTACGTTTTATTTTCAAGACACGTTAAAGCAGTAATGCAGGGTGTCTTGTGATGATCCAGATTGATGTAGCAGCAAGTTTAAAATTCTGCATTACGAATATGTTTGTTGAAAACCACTCCTAGAGCTTTCTTGGCCTTCTCGTACACTAGTGGCCAAAATTGTGGAAAATTGTTTGGACATGGATTACTGAGCCCTGATCCAGTTTTGAGCTCTATTCAGTACCCATTCCCATACCCCCTCCACCCCACACGGGGCACATCCCAATTATTATCATTTGGCAGTTCAACTCTGTTTTTACATATTTATTTTAAAATATATTTTTTAATAACAGACATTGCATTACATTCTGCATTTAATTATCTTTTTTTAAAATAAAATATCAGTTTAGGACTGATGTTATGAGTCATCAAATCTCAGCAATACACATTTTTCCAAAATGTTTCCACAATTTTGGCCACTAGTGTATATTAGAATAAATAAAGGTTATAATTGACATTACAGGAGTACACATAGGTTGTGAAGTGCCAGCTCACAGCATCCAAAGAGCTTAATGTAACGCGTTGTAATGTAATGGTGGAATTTATTGATAATCCGTTCTGTGTACTCTTGTGATGTGACTTTAACATAGCAAATCTGGCTTCAATAAAGTAACAAATTACAGATCAATTAAGCTCAGAGTTCTTAAAGGATCACTATAGGGTCAGGAACACAAACATGTATTCCCGACCCTATAGTGTTAAAACCACCATCTAACCCCCTGGGCCCCTCATGCCTCCATAAATATAGCAAAATCTTACTGTATTCAAGCCTGCAGCTGTAGATCTACATGCGGTTTGCCTAAAAAAACATGCAGTCTGCTGACATCATTCGAAGTAGGAGCCTGATCCAATCACAGTGCTTCCCCATAGGATTGGCTGAGACTGACAAAGAGGCAGAGCCTCATGATTCAAACACAGCCCTGGCCAATCAGCATCTCCTCATAGAGATGAATTGAATCAATGAATCTCTATGAGGGAAGTTCAGTGTCTGCGTGCAGAGGGAGGAGATACTGAATGTTTGGATGCATTTTAGGCAGCCATGACCCAGGAAGGATCTCTAATAGCCATCTAAGGAGTGGCCAGTGAAGTTATCACTAGGCTGTAATGTAAACACTGCATTTTCTTTGAAAAAAAAGACAGCGTTTACAGCAAAAAGCCTGAAGGTAATGATTCTACTCACCAGAACAAATACAATAAGCTGTAGTTGTTCTGGTGACTATAGTGCCCCTTTAATGCTGCACGATTAGCCAAAAATAAAAGGCAAGCTAGCCTATGTTTCTGTTAATGAATGTGGTAAGAAAGTGGATCAATACTCAGGGCCGCCATCAGGGGGTACAGGCATTATCCCATTAATTCCTGTCTCTAGAAGACAGGAATATCTCTCCTAACCAGACTGTATTGGCCAGCAGAGAGTGGACACTTTCTTAGATGGGTTCATGTATAGCTTCCTCACTGGCAATGGAGCTGGAGGATGTGATATTAAAATATCATTTCCTCCTAGCATTATCGTGTAGCAGTCTATTGCTTTAATAGAGCAGTTACTGTGCTCCACATGACATCTGAGGGTATAGACCAGGGGCACAGTTTTTTTTGGGGGGGGGAGGTAGGGGGTAGGGTATGGCATTTTGTAATATCTCTACTCTCTAGCTTTCACACTGAGATGGCCTCAGCAGATTGCTAGTTGCTATGAAAAGTGAGCAGCACAACAAATAGTCTAGTAGGGGTTCAGCCTCACTACTTTTAAGATCGGACTGCCTGAGAGGGAGGAAGAGAGGGTATAGTACAATTTTTGGCTGATTACTTTAAGAAAAGATTGTGGATCTCTGTCTGTTTGACAATGTGTGTACATATGACTGTGTCTGTGTGCCTGACAGTGTGTACGTCTGTATGTTTGTCTATGTCTGAGTGTTTAACTTTGTTTAGATGCCTGCTTGTCAATGTGTTTGCATTTGTTTGGCTGACAGTGTGCGTCTGAGTGTGTGACCTGCATGTATATGACAGTTTATGGGTTTGTATCTGTGTGTGTGTTGCAAGTAATGTGTATCAAGGTGAGCAGCCAGACCATTTTAAGGGCCCCCAAGATATCTGATGGCAGCTCTGTCTATACCAATATTATTTAGGGGAATTGATCAATAACTAATTATGGAACTAAGTAAGCTAGAGAATGACTTACAAAAATAGTGTTTTATTGCTCTGAAGGGAAGGCCAGTGGAGACATTATTATTTATAGATGGCTGCAATACACACTAACCTTAACGTTAAAGGGACTGCCATTTCCTAAAGGGACACCATACACGTATGAAATTTCCTATAACGGTGCACTGCCCATTCTAAAGAGGACATTCGGAGATATGAAATGTCCTCATTTTTTTTTTTCAGCTGACAAAAAAAAAAGGATTTCATTATGACATCACTACGTTTATAGGTTAGTACAGTCTAGTTCTGACATCATCAGTTATTCTCCATAATAAATTTTTACAAGGTAGCTCTGATGATACTACTATCCTACGAAGATTATGTATATGCATATTTATCAGATAAAGGCAAACTAATGTATGTATAAAAAATTTATAGAAAAACAACTGGATTCTTTTTTTATGAGCTCACTTTTACCTGAATAGACTCGAGCAAAAAGTATTTTTATTTCTTCCCTTAAAAGTAGAACGTTGCAAATTGTTTTAATTAAAAAATGGGATTCATAGGAACCATAGTTCCCACATTTGATATATATATATTTATTTTCTATGCTGAATATTATCTGGTATGAACGGTCACGTGTTTCCTCCTGGCCAAATTTCCAGAGCCGTGTCTTGTCTAGTAGGATTTGTTTCACTAAACTGAAATTGTGTTTTACAAAAGGACTGCAAAATGTAGATATTTTTCCAATATTTTTTGGCTACGTGGCCTTAGTTGGAGAATTATTCCTAACCATTGTGGCGAATAAGCCCCAACTAACACATTTTAGACATTCTCAGTAGAAGTATGGTAGCTTGTCTAAAAGTTCCCTCTGATGTGTTGAGATGATCAGTAGAATGAATTCTATGCTGTGAACAAAGAAACTATTTCTAAAGTAAAGAGTTTATCTCAAAATTCTAACTTTTTTTTGTTAACATTTCAACTTATAAAAATATTTTTTCCTGATGTGTGAATAACTTTGTGTCTAGCAAGACTTGAGCTTTGGGTGAAACATTTTCCACATTCCGAACAAGAAAACGGCTTTTCTCCTGTGTGGATCCGCTGATGATGAACAAGGTAGGAACCTCGGGTGAAACATTTTCCACACTCTGAACAGGAAAACGGTTTCTCTCCTCTGTGAGTTTTCTGATGCCGAACAAGATACGAATTGTAAGTAAAAGTCTTCCCACACTCAGGACAAGAATACGGCTTCTGTCCTGTGTGGCTCTTCATGTGTATAGCAAGGTTTGTTTTATAGGTGAAGCACTTCCCACAATAAGAGCAGGACAGGCCTTTCACTTTATGGGTCTGATGATGTTTAAAAAGATCTGCGTTATTTGTGAAAGATTCCTCACACTCGCAGCAGTTATACAACCTTGGAACCCTGTGTATTCTCTGATGCGATATAAAAGCTTTTAATTTGCTAAATGTCTTACCACATTCACTGCACTCCAGTGCCGAGGGGGTTTTGTTTGTTTTTGATGTCACACTTTTTTTCTTTTTCTGTTCTTTACTCTTAACTGTATAGTCTATACGCGTATGTTCTGTAGGTACAGTTTCGTTTAAATTTCTTTCCTCAGACGAGCAGGATTCCTCCTTTATATCGATATGTAATCCTTTATATTCCGTTCGTCCATACATATTGTCCGTAAAATTACCATTTTCCCAAAACGTGGATTCCTCCTCAATATGACCAGGTGTATATTCCGTAGGCGTATAAATGTCAGTGTCTGTGACATTCCCTTCTTCATCATCTGAGAAAAATTCCTCCTTGATATGAATCTGGGTATATTCTAAGTCCATGGATGTATCCTTATCAGCACTCAGTTGATGATCGTCTGTGAATTCTCCTTTAATATCAATAGATGCACATCTCACCTGTGTACATTTTGTGGCCCTATCAGTTTCCAAGTCTGTGAGATTTCCTTCTTCATGTGCACCTGTGTCATTACTTTTTACAGATTTGCTGTGCCTCTTCTGTGAATTATTTATTACAACATTTTTTGTTCCCTGACTTTTTCTGATGTTTTTCCCATCTTTGATTTGGACATCTGAGGAAGAAATAGGAATGAGAAATTATTGAATAGTTCTTACAACATCCAAAAATAATATCATCTATGCTCAACACAGTTGAAATACCAGTTTCAAAATATAGTGGAAAAAAAAAAAAAAAAAAAGCACATATAGGTTCCTTGCACCATGACCACTTCAAAACGCTGAAGTGGTCGTGGTTCTTGAAGTAACCCTTTAAATTCAATGCATTGTTGGTTCAAGTCCCAAATAAATGCACGTAAAAAAATAAGTCTCACCTGGTGAGCTGGAAGGCTTGCGATTTTTCAGCGTGCTGTCACTGTGACGATTCTTTTGTCCTACATACTCCTCTACCTACATGGAGAAAGTGACAGTAACTCCTTATCATATTTCCACACCCAATGATACAGTCACCATCCAGACACATCCCTTGGTTTTACTGCATAATGTCCCATTCCCAGCAGCCTCACCTCTCCAGCCAGCAGCTGGATGATCTGATTGGTCAGTTCCAGGATCTTTTTCTCATTTTTCCTGTCCTGTATCAGTGAGTGAAGTGAAGGCACCATGCAGGGGCTCTGATCTTTGCAGGACTCTTCTGACACACAGGAGCTGCTACTCTGTCTGATAGAGTCACCAGGCTTTTTCACGATCATATAATCCTATACATTGAGAAAGATCAAATCTCGAAACAACCAAATCTTACCATATGGGACATGATGGGTTTAGAGAGGGGGATCTTGACAAGTGTGAAAAACAAGTCTTAAGAAAAATAATAATTATTATATTTACACCCTAAAGTGCAGTCCCACGGCATTTGAATGCTCATCTCCTGTTAGTGGAAAATGATCCATAAATAAAGATCTACTAATAAAACTAGAATCTATACTGTGTACAAAGTAAGGAGAGCTGTGCTCACACCGTCTCCTGTCCAAGTACACGAAGGATGAATGGGAAAGCCAGACTTCCCACATGCCAGTGAGTAGGGGGTGGGGCTTGGGTGCTGTAGATCAATAAAAATAGTAAGGGAATTAACAGTCAATACTACATTTTTTCACAACCCTATAACTAAGTGAAAGTTAGCTGCATCCATAACTTAATGACAATCCATACTCCACAAGCTATACACTGATCAGCCACACCATTAAAACCACCTGCCTAGTAACAAGTAGGTCCCCCTCATACTGCCAAAACAGGTCTGATGCATCAAGGCATGGACTGAACAAGACCTCTGATCGTGTCCAGTGGTAGACATTAGCAGCAGATCCTTTACTTCCTGCAAGTGGTAAGGTGGGCATCCATAGTTTGGAGTTGTTGTTCCAGCACAACCCACAGATGCTCAATTGGATTTAGATTTGGGAAATTTTGAGGTCAATGCAACACCTTGAACGCTTTGTCATGTCCCTCAAACCATTCCTGAACAATGTTTGCCATGTGCATTATCCTGCTGAAAGAGACCACAGCCATCAGGTAACACCATTGCCATGAAGGAGTGTACGTTGTCTGCAACAATTTCTAGGTAGGTGGTACATGTCAAAGTAACATCCACATGAATGCTAAGATCCAACATTTCCTAGCAGAACATTGCCCAGAGCATAACCCTGCTTCTGTCGACTGGTATTCTTCCCACAATTCATCATGCATCTTTTCCCCAGGTAAACCACACACATGCACCTGGCCACCCACCTGATATAAAAGAAAATGTGATTCATCAGACCAAGCAACCTTCTTTCATTACCCCATGGTCCAGTTCTCATACTCAAGTCCCCATTGGAGGCACTTTCGAAGGTGGACAGGGGTCATCGGGCATTCTGACTGATCTGCTGCTATGCAGCCCCATACACAAGAACTGCGATGCATTGTGTGTTCTGACACCCTTTTCAGCAATTTGAAATACAGTAGCTCTTCTGTGTGATTGGACCAGATGGGCATGCATCAATGAGTCTTGGGCACCCATGACTTTGATGCCGGTTTACCTGATGTCCTTGCTTGCAACACTTTTGGTAGGTACTACCCACTGCATATTGAGAACACCCCACAAAACTTGCCAGTTTGGAGATGCTCTGACCCAGTCATCTAGCCATCACTATTTGGACCTTGCCAAAGTCATTCAGATCTTTCTGCTTGCCCATTTTTCATGCTTCCAACACATTAAATTCAAGAAATGACTCTTCACTTGCTGCCTAATATATATCACCCCTTGCTTACAAGAAAAAGGCTGCAGGGAGCTGTAGCACTCACCTGAACAACCTCATTAAGCTGAAGTTGTTCAGGTGACTATAGTGTCCCTTTAAACATGGCCTTAGTATGTCAGGTAGTGGGAAAAAGGGCAGTAAGATTGTGGTATTGCAAAGTGTTCTTTTATTTCTTCTGGGTTAATTGGACCCACATCCGACCCATTAGTTGTCAGCTTTGATGCCAGTACAATATCACAAGTAACATGGTAACTTCTGCATGCGCATGTGTTCATTGCACGTTCATGTCTATGAAAGAATTATGTTTCCACAGGTCATTAAGTCCCCAAAAAAGTATGGAGAAATATTTTCACCTTAAAGGGTAACTCAAAATACCACGACCATTCATTGATTCCAGGCTAGCTAAGGCTCCTGAGTAGCTAACAAACATTCTGTGCAAAATGAAAACACTGGTTTATAAAACACTGTTTTTTGGTTGGAGTAACCCTTTAATTGAAAGGCAATTATTTTAATACTGCTTGGACATTTAGGACATTCCAATAATACCTCTCCAGTGAGCAGATAGATGATCTCAAAGGTGATACTTAATATCTTTTCAGACACCTGATTCCTGTTCTTGTCCATTATCAAAGAGTAGGACGTTCTCAGCGTGGTCTTTATCCTCGTAGAAGTTAACTTTTAGCTGACTTCTGCAGATTCTAAGAGAGGTTGTAATGTTCATTAAAGGCTCATGAATAGACAATTAAAAAAATGAATATCAAATGCACAAACTAATTATCATTGCACGTAGGACATTTCTACCAGAGCTTCGTGTCTGCAAAAATAAAAGAACTTTGATTGTCCCGGCTGAGGTTGTCCTATTCTTTAAATAAATTGCAAATGCAGACACCAGAATTTATTTAAACAAAAGACAGTACAAAGCACATTATGGTGGGTGCAGGAGCCCCACAACATTTAATGTACTAAACAATGTTTGTAAATGGCCAGTGTTAAAATAACATTCCATTCAACATTGCTGATTTAGATTCAGAGAAAATAGACATTACCGGTAATCCAGTGGCAAAACCATCTCTTTGCCACAGTTCCACCCCTAATGATGAACCTGTGGGCCAATCCAATGCTTCTTATAGAGAATCACTAGTGACCTTTTGTGCATGCGTGGAAAGCAAATGCGTCTCAAAGAGCAGCACTGAATCCAATGCTCAGAGAAGCATAGCCTTCAGCTTTGAATGAGCGCTCACAGTAAATAAGAACATAATTCCGTCTGTCTGTTTGACAAGCAGGAGTGTAAACTAAGGTGATTGGTAAAGGTGCCACATTTCAGAGCACATAAATATCTCAAATGGCAGAATAAGTTGTCTGCGACGATAAGATCCTATGTACGCAGTTTATGAAAGTATTATTGCACAGAACATACAACAAAATGTGGAAAAAATAAACTTTATGTCCAACTATTTCAAAATCTCCCTCTCCAAAACAAGACAGATTAGCAAGAAATGAATATCCAAATAATCTGTAGCAAATATTTTGCCATCTCTATTAGGGTTTCTGACCAAAAAGACAGCAACCATAACCTGTTTTTCGATTGAATTATTTATTAATATTAGTATGCACGGACGATATACACTGTTCTTGATGCAGTTTTCCCCTAAGGGGATTTAACTAAATCATTAGAAACATTGCCTTCTTTAATAAGAAGCCAAAATGATTTGACAGATTTATGGTTTATTTTTTAATCGGTAATAAAAATGGCACAATTACATATTAAAATGTGGCATTCTAGACAGACAAAACACATAAATAAATTAAAGTATGAGTTACCTTGCTATGATCAGAGGACCAACTTCAGGTGCAGCAACTAATTATCCTAGAAGGGCAGAAAGATTAATATTAATGGAAAAAGCAAAAACATGTTCCACCACACAGGGTGCACATCTAGACCTTTTCATATAGTTATATATTGTATTGCACGTTCAACGTGTCTGGAACAGTCATATATATATAGAGAGAGAGAACAAATCCATGATAGGCCAGCACTTAGGAAAATAGTCTTCTTTATTCCACCATAAATCCATCAGTCAACATTTCAGTTCAAATTTAGAACTTTCATTAGGACACAAATGTGGGCACCATAACCTCGGTCAGGGTTAGGCAACTTCGGCACTCCAGATATTGTGGACTACATCTCCCATAATGCTCTTACAGTCATAATGCTGGCAAATTTTCAATGGAGGTGTAGTCCACAACATCTGGCGTGCCGAAGGTTGCCTACCCCTTGATCTAGGTACAGTGGGATGCCATGTGGGAGAGCATGAATGTGCCCTGTGCCATCATTGTAGGACAGGGGCACTTTAAATGGCATTTTATTTAACTTCAGGACCTCCTAAAAGAGATCTAGGTAATTAGTGCACAGGGAATGGTATGGATTGATGGTGGGGGCACAGGGGATGGTATGGATTGATGGTGGGGGCACAGGGGATGGTATGGATTGGTGGTGGGGGCACAGGGGATGGTATGGATTGGTGGTGGGGGCACAGTGGATGGTATGGATTGATGGTGGGGGCACAGGGGATGGTATGGATTGATGGTAGGGGCACAGGGAATGGTATGGATTGATGGTGGGGGTACAGGGAATGGTATGGATTGATGGTGGGGGCACAGGGGCTGGTATGGATTGATAGTGGGGGCACAGGGGATGGTATGGATTGATAGTGCAGGGCACAGGGGATGGTATGGATTGATAGTGGGGAGCAGGGGATGGTATGGATTGATGGTGGGGCACAGGGGATGGTATGGATTGATGGTGGGGGCACAGGGGATGGTATGGATTGATGGTGGGGGCACAGGGGATGGTATGGATTGATGGTGGGGGCACAGGGGATGGTATGGATTGATGGTGGGGGCAGGGGATGGTATGGATTGATGGTGGGGGCACAGGGGATGGTATGGATTGATGGTGGGGGCACAGGGGATGGTATGGATTGGTGGTGGGGGCACAGGGGATGGTATGGTTGATGGTGGGGGCACAGGGAATGGTATGGATTGATGTCTGTTAAATCTCACCCTGTGTTGCACATCCCAGACCCTCAGAGCGCCATCAGCCCAGCCTGGGGAATAATGGGGGATTGCCCGGATCCATCATGGTCACTGAATAGATCTCCTCCATGGACTGAGCAGCCTGAAGCCTGGCACCGCTCTCTCTCTCTCTCTGGGTCTCTATGGTAAGACAATCCTCCGGAGCATGCGCAGTCACTAACTGCCGGGCACTGAGCATGCGCACTGGGCGACTCCGGGTCCTTATCAACTACGATTCCCGTGAGACCAGGCGGCTAATGTCAGTGACGTCACAATCCAGCGCCCGTTGTGGGAGGAGCCTAGTAACTGAGAGCAGTGACAGTGATTGTGTTGTGACAGGGAGCAGGAGTAGTGCGGACAGTGCACGGTGACTGGGAGGAGGAGGGCAGGCGGGATGTACTACGGGTGAGACGGATAATAGCGATAAATACCATACAGGGTGTCCATGGACTGACCCTGTTACTATGGGCACCTACCCTCTATATATCCAATATGTGTGTGTGTGTGTGTGTCAGTATAGAGAGAGAGAGAGAGAGAGAGAGAGCCAGGGGAGGGTCCATGGGATATCAGTGACACTGCAAGAAATATTTATATTTATATTGTTTAATCTTTAAAATTGGTAAGGTTTAAAAAAAAAAAAAAGGTTTTTTTTTCTTTTTTTTTCTTTTTTTCTGGTTTTCCCCCCCTTTTTGTGTGCTGCTGCTTGATTGATTGGGGGAGTGTTCATTAATTGCACCTGTGTGGGATTTGTATCCCCATAAAGGCACACCCCTAACTCACTGAGCTTGCTCACATTATTTGAAAGCAGCCTCTATTAAGTAGACTCTTTCAAGTAGGAGTTAGAAAACCAGGAGTTGAAACAAACAAGGGGTTCAAACTATCAAGGTAATTGTTTTTATTTACTGTTTAAAGGGGAAATGAGTGTTAGCAAGATTGCTGGTTTAACTCAATGCACATCTTGTTGCATGTATGGATGCCTGGATGTACCCGTCCAGGGTCCATACCTCTGTGATGGTTGTGTGCGAGTGGCTTCTCTGGAAGCTCAGATTGGAGATCTCGAGAAGCAAATCGCAACTTTGAGGGAGATTGACAATCTTGAGAGGAGTCTACTGCTCACTGAGCAGAGTTTAGTGGGGACAGGTAGTGGAGAGGGAGGAGATAAGACAGATGGGGAACAGGCATGTAGCTGGGTGACAGTGGGGCGAGGAAGCAGGGGGGAGGGAAGAGGAAAGGGCTAGCTAGTCCTGATTTGGTGCAACCTAGCAGATTTGCCCGTTTGAGGGAAGATGTTGGGAGCATCAGCTCAGGAGTAGCTGTATTAGAGGAAGCTGTTACTTCTAACAGCCCCCCTAGTACGGGTGGGGATCAAAATGTAAGGAAGACAAGACAGGTTGTGGTGGTAGGGGACTCTATCATTAGGAGAGCAGATAGGGCAATCTGCCGCTCTGATCGGCTCAACCGGACAGTTTGCTGTCTCCTGGGTGCTCAGGTCCGGCATGTTGCTGACAGAGTGGATGGATTATTGGGAGGGGCTGGGGATGACCCAGCGGTCATGGTCCATGTTGGTACCAATGACAAAGTAAGAGGAAGATGGAAGGTCCTAAAGAATGATTTCAGGGAATTAGGTAGCAAACTTAAGAAAAGGACGTCCAAGGTGGTATTCTCTGAGATATTACCTGTGCCACGCGCTACAGTGGAAAGGCAGCGGGAGGTTAGAGAGGTCAATGCGTGGCTTAAGTCTTGGTGCAGGAAGGAGGGTTTTGGGTTTTTAGAGCACTGGGCCGACTTTGCGATTGGGTACAACCTTTATAGTGGTGATGGATTGCACCTAAACGGGAGAGGGTCTGCAGTGCTGGGGGATAGGATGGCTAGAAGGTTGGAGGAGATTTTAAACCAGTAGTAGGGGGGGGAGGGTCATAGCAATCTACAAAATGGAGATAGGACAGAAAGGAGATGGGCTTTAGCACAGTATAAGGGGGGTGGAAACGGGGGGAGGGGCAAGCTCAGAACAGAGAAGCTGTGTAATGGTGAAAATTCACAAAATATACAAGTGACGCATAATATTAAATGTATGTTTACTAATGCAAGGAGCCTAAATAACAAAATGGGGGAACTAGAGGCATTAGCATACACTAAACAATATGATATAATAGGCATAACTGAAACATGGTGGGATGAGACACATGACTGGGCAGCTAACTTAAATGGGTACATGTTATTTAGGAAGGATAGGAAAAACAAGAAGGGTGGTGGGGTATGTTTGTATGTCAAACATGATTTAAAGCCAAATGTTAAGCAAATGGAATGCGAGGAGGATAATGTGGAAGCTTTATGGGTAAATATCTGCTTGGGGGAAAAGAAGGGAAACCAACTATTGGTTGGGATATGTTATAAACCACCTAATGTTAATATTGACGAGGAACAACAGCTGTTTGAGCAAATTGAGAAAGCTGCAAATCTGGGTAACACTTTAATTATAGGAGACTTTAATTACCCAGATATAAATTGGGACAGAGGGACTAGTGCCTCAGCAAAGGGAATTAGGTTTTTAAACTTGTTAAATGACACCTTCATGTCACAACTTGTACAAGCACCAACTAGAATGGACGCTTGTCTGGACCTGGTTTTAACAAACAACGTTGATCTTTTGACCAACATTCAAGTAGGTGAGCACTTGGGAAATAGTGATCACAATATAGTGTCCTTTGAAATAAACTCAAAAAAACAAAAGCACATGGGGAATACTAAAACATGTAATTTTAAAAAGGCCAATTTCAATAAGTTAAGGGAAGCTTTACAATATATTGACTGGCATAAACTCTTTAGTGAAAAGAACACTGAGGATAAATGGATCATCTTCCAACAAATATTAAAAAGGTACATTTCTCAGTATGTACCGTTGGGAAATAAATATAAAAGAAACAAATTAAAACCAACATGGCTTAGTAGAGAAGTAAAACAAGAGATTACAACTAAGAGAAGTGCATTTAAAGCATTTAAATCGGACAAATCAGATGCATCTTATAAAAGATATAAGGATGCAAATAATGCGTGCAAAAGGGCAATTAGACTTGCTAAACTTCAAAATGAAATAATGATAGCTGAAGAGAGCAAAACCAACCCCAAAGCATTTTTTAAGTACATAAATTCTAAAAAAATAAATAAAAATGCAAGTGTAGGTACACTAAAAACGGAAACGGGGGTGTTAGTTAATGAAGACCAGGAAAAGGCAGGAATTTAAAATAACTATTTCTCCTCCGTATATATTAAGGAAGAACCCATGGCAATAGATGTGCAAATGATTGCTACTAAAAAATTGCAGAATAATTGTAATTGGTTAACTCAAGACAAGGTGCTGCAGCAACTAAAGAAAGTTAATATAAACAAAGCTCCAGGGCCTGACGGTATCCATCCACGTGTACTTAAGGAACTAAGTGCAGAAATAAGTGAACCTCTGTTTTTAATCTTTAAAGATTCTTTTCTTTCAGGAAGTGTTCCGGAGGATTGGAGGAAGGGAGATGTGGTTCCTATATTCAAAAAGGGTTCAAAATCCTTGCCTGGAAATTATAGACCTGTGAGCTTAACTTCTGTGGCTGGTAAAATATTTGAAAGGTTATTAAGGGATAATATTCAAGAATTCCTTGAGAAGAACATGGTTATCAGCAAAAATCAGCATGGTTTTATGAAGCACAGGTCATGTCAAACTAACTTGATTGCGTTCTACGAAGAAGTAAGTAGAAGTATAGATCAGGGTGTTGCCGTGGATGTGATCTATTTGGATTTTGCCAAGGCATTTGATACAGTTCCACACAATAGATTAGTGTTCAAACTCAAGGAAATCGGTCTAGATGAAAATGCTTGTTCTTGGGTAGAACATTGGCTTAAAAACAGAGTACAAAGAGTTGTCATTAATGGTAAATTTTCAAGCTGGACAGAGGTGGCAAGTGGTGTCCCTCAGGGGTCTGTTCTGGGACCCCTTCTATTTAACATGTTTATAAATGATCTTGAAGACCGCATTGAAAGTCATGTTTCAGTGTTTGCAGATGACACCAAACTTTGTAAAACAATACAATGTGAGCAAGATATTACCTTGCTGCAGAGGGATTTAGATAGACTGGGGGACTGGTCACTCAAATGGCAGATGAAATTTAATGTTGAAAAATGCAAAGTTATGCACTTCGGCGTAAAGAATACACAAGCAACGTATACCCTTAATGGAAGCGAATTAGGGATAACAACACACAAAAAGGACTTGGGAATTGTTATAGACAACAAACTATGCAACAATGTGCAATGTCAATAAGCAGTGGCCAAGGCCAGTAAGGTATTGTCATGCATGAAAAAGGGCATTCATTCTCGGGACAAGAATATCATTTTGCCTCTTTATAAATCACTGGTAAGACCCCATATTGAATATGCTGTGCAATTTTGGGCACCTGTTCTAAAGAAGGATATTATGGCACTAGAAAAAGTGCAGAGGCGGGCTACAAAATTAATAAAAGGAATGGAACATATCGGCTATGAAGAAAGGTTAATAAATTTAAACCTATTTAGTTTAGAAAAACGTCGCCTGAGAGGGGATATGATAACATTATACAAATATATTCGGGGCCAATACAAACCATTGTGTGGAAATCTATTCACAAACCGGACTTTACATAGGACACGAGGCCATGCGTTTAGACTGGAAGAAAGAAGATTTCGTCTAAGGCAAAGGAAAGGTTTTTTTACTGTAAGAACAATCAGGATGTGGAATTCTCTGCCTGAAGAAGTGGTTTTATCAGAGTCCATACAGATGTTCAAACGGCTACTAGATGCATACTTGCAAGAACAGAATATTCAAGGATATAATCTTTCAATGTAGGGTAATAACTGCTTGATCCAAGGATAAATGTGACTGCCATTCTGGGGTCAAGAAGGAATTTTTTTCCTAGCTTGTTGCAAAATTGTGCTTCAAACTGGGTTTTTTTGCCTTCTTTTGGATCAACAGCAAAAAACAAATGTGAGGTAGGCTGAACTTGATGGATGCAAGTCTCTTTTCAGCTATGTAACTATGTAAATGGGAACAGGAACACCGAGAGATACAGTGCCTAACACCCCCCTCCCCACATTGTATGAATAACCCTCCTCCCCCCCACATTGTATGAATAACCCCCCACACCCCCAAAATTGTATTGTATGAATAACCCCCATTGTATGAATAACCCCCACATCCCCACATTGTATGAATAACCCCCACACTGTATGAATAACCCCTGGGCTCTGGGACCCACCCCACTCTCTCTATAGTGACACATATTTAACTCATTTTATTTTTCATATACAATGTGCTATGTTCTCCTTTTAATGTTGGTTATCTGGCACTTTATCTCTCCGCTCCGGTTTATTTCCTTATTTCCACCAAAACATTTCTTACTGTGACATTGTTTTCATGGACCCTTTTCTGCTTTATTTTGTCTCTTTCTTTTGTTCGCAGATTTGTTGTTTTTAATGCAAAATATGTGACTTCTCTTTCCAATAAGTGATTCCGCCGCTTTTGGATACACAGGTAGGAAAAGGCTTCAATATATATATATATAAGACGGAGTAATGTTTTTATTCTGAAGGTAAAAGCACATGCGAAGCCAATACGTGTGAAAGCGACCCACAACCCTATCCGTTATGTCTCTCCTCATCCAATGTGTGTCCATGCAGTTTGCTGGATTGTGACATCATCTGCCCAAACAATATACATTTAAAATAAATGGAGCACCGCATGAAAAACAGATTAACACAAATTATATGTAATTGTCAATGTTTTATTGTATGATGTAATTTCCAGACAAATGATGGTTCCCATTTAATCCCAGAGATGATTGATAAGGGGTCCTGCAGCCCATGAGTGTGTTTTATGGGATAATGTGAATTTTAAATAATTAGTTTTGCCACATTGTATTGATTAATTTGTTGATCCTCAGTAATATTGGTAATGTTATCATGTGTCTGCTGTTGAAGATAGCTGAGAATTAACTTTTCTTTCCTCTTACTGCAGAGCGCATCCTCATTCACTCTGTGATAATTTACTGAACCATAATCACCATGAGAGGATCTTTAATTTCACACTGAAGATCCCAGTCCCTGCTAACTGGAGAGGTGATGAATTCTGGGAATTGCTTTTGGACTCTTATTGTCTGTCTACAAATCAGCTCAGCTACCTCTGTCAGTAGAGTATACGTGATTAATCTCAGTTTGTGATTAACTCCAAAATCAACTCCCCCGTCCATTCTTTTGAACTTTATACAAGTAATAAGTTTGGTGATGATAACATATAGACCACATAAGGTGCTTGAAAACCGGTGACAAACCAATGTACCTTTCTTGGTAAAATAATCTTATATTATCCGGACTCACAAATTCCACTCAGCAAAACCAAATGAAAAGTTAGCCATAGATAGTAGAAATTGACCTGTGATGAGTGTCCATAGACCCTCCAGGTTTGTAGTGGTGAGTAACCTTTATTGCCTGGCTAGTAGTGTAGGACTTGGAATTTAAATCCCTGAATTGATTTAGCCATTTAGAGCACTGTGAGTAGACAATTTGGGGAACCATGCTTAATGTGTTATCAAACAAATGGAAATCCTGGAGCAGTAGACTGCTGGCAGGTAAGTTTATAAGGGAAGAATGGAAGTGTTTGTTTTAGTATGTAAAAGAAGGCTTTACATTTCAGGTATTAAGATCCTAACCATACTTCAAAGACATGAGCCGAGTATTTATTTATTTTTTTAAATTTAAGATGTGTCTGTGATGTTCCCATATAAATCATTGTACTTTAGTATTACACCGAACCCTGGAGAGCCTGTATTTTGTGGCATGCATGGTGTGTGCTTGTTTTGTTGCATTCTTAATGTGTTCCCTAAACCAACTATTGTCCATCTTGATGAAATAACAAGACAACTTTGGGGCCACTCTGCTCCAACACCTTGATTGTAGGATTTAGCTAAGTCTTGATTTAACGAGAATCATTTATACCCTGCAAAACATTATCATCCTTCTACCTCTTCTACTACAAGTCTCTCTGCCAGAAATAGCCTCTCTGCAGTTTCCTTTGAGAGTTGCATTTCATAATGCTACTTCTTGCTAAATTAATGAACAAAACATGCTAAGGAAGCACTGTATAACTTAGTAAGTTTATATTTCGAATTTTCAATTTTAGAAGATTTTATTTGGTAAAAATGGATCTCCTTTGTTTATCCCCAACTTACTTTTTTTCGCAAGACCACTAGATGGCACTGCTAATTCACAAGTAATGATGGCATTGCTAATGCACAAGTAATAATGTATTAATAGGAAGATACAATGTAGTTTTGATACATTCTGGAAGAGACTTTAAAGTGCCAATCGAATGTGGTGATCAGCCAATAGAATGCCTCTTATAGGGAAGCACTCACTTTATTGCCGGGGGGGGGGTGTTCCTAAATTGGTTCATACAAATGCAGATTTCTCTTGAATTCTGCACTTTTATGAATTGGGAGTTGTAGTTAACCCTTAAAGCATTGTCCATTTAAAGGACCACTCTAGGCACCCAGACCACTTCAGCTTAATGAAGTGGTCTGGGTGCTAGGTCCAGCTAGGGTTAACCCTTTTTTTAATAAACATAGCAGTTTCAGAGAAGAAATTGTATTAATGCACCCACAGAATATGTGCAGGCAGAAGTACCCACACTTATAAGAGAGGAATCACTCTCATGTAAAGGAAAGATCACAGAGACTGGCATTTGTAAGACCACAACACATGCACAGACCGATTATACAGCTAAGAAAGGGAACATTGATACAAAAGCAGTACTTTGTTATCTCTTGGTAATGAAATGCAGTCAGTGTGGTGAAGACTTTGACAAAGGACCAACTTTCCTAGCTCATCAACTGACGCACAACCCTCTGCAAACATACAGCTGTTCTGAGTGTCAGAAATACTTTACAAGCTATTTAGATCTTGTTAAACATCAGAGGCGTCACAGAGGACAGAAAGAGCTCTGCCCAGAATGTGGAAAACACTTTTCTTCTAAATCAAATCTTGCAGCACACTACAAAATTCACACTGGGGAGAAGCCATTCTCTTGCTCCATATGTGGAAAAGGTTTTATTAACCAGGCACATCTTATTAGGCATGAGAGATGTCACACAGGAGAAAAAACATTTTCATGTCCTCTATGTGGGAATGTTTTTACTAATCGGCACATCTTATTAGACATGAAAGGAGTCACACAGGAGAAAAACCATTTCCATGTTCTGTATGTGGGAAATGTTTTATTGATAAGTCAAGTCTTGTAACACATCAAAGGGTTCACACAGGAGAAAAACTATATACATGCTCAGAATGTGGGCAATTTTTTACCAATAGGGCAAGTTTTATTTCACATCAGAGGAACCACACAGGAGAGAAACCATTCTTTTGTTTCGCATGTGGAAAGTGTTTTACAAATCAACCAGATCTTAATAAACATCATAGAGTACATACTAGAGAGAAACCATTCTCCTGCTCTCAGTGTGGGAAATATTTTACCCAAAGCTCCCATCTTGTTCGACAACAAAGGAGTGACACAGGGTAGAAACCATTCTTATGTTCTGTGTGTGAGAAACGGTTTAGTTTAAATGAAAATCTCATTTCACACCAGAGGATTCACACAGGAGTGCAGCCGTTTTCTTGTTCCATATGTGGGAAAAGTTTCTCCAGTAATTCTAATTTTCTTACACACGAAAGAAGTCACACAGGGGAGAAGCCATTTCCTTGTTCTGTGTGTGGAAAATGTTTCACTAATCAGTCAGATCTTAAACATGAATGGATTCACACAAGAGAGAAGCCTTTCTCATGCACTGAATGTGGAAAATATTTTACCCAAAGCTCTCATCTTGTTCGACATCAAATGAGACACAAAGGTGAAAAAACGTTTTCCTGTTCTGACTGTGGAAAAAGCTTTACAATTAAATCTAATTTTCTTCGACACCAGAGGAGTCACAGAAAGGAAAAACCATTCTCGTGCTCTGAATGTGGGAAATGTTACACTGTTAAAATAAATCTTATTAGTCATCAAACGATTCACAAAAGTGAAACATCTGTGTAAATAAACCAGAGTTATTATTTTCAAATTTGTTATGCTCTCCATCTTCTGAGTTGTTAAAAAAAAAGTCTGTTGTAAAAATATATATATATCCAGCAATCTATAATATATTTAAATCTATTAGTTTTTTTTTTTCTTATTTTTTAATACAAAAGAAATGAAATGAGGTACAACATTCTCTGACCTCTTAACTTATGTTTCTATAACACATGTCCCTTGTCTCTGCTATTATTTTTCTTTTTCTTTTTTTTGTGTGCATATTTATGGATAATTCTGTTTATGTTTTAGTGATGCTTCTATTTATTAATTAATAGTTACTAAAATGTCCTTCTGCGCTGTGATCAGGTAAGTAAATAAAGGGGTTTTATCCCTTTATTGGTGGGGGCTATAAGGGAGGGAGGAGGAGCTATAGTCCTAGGTATAAATGTTTTTATGCCTAGCATACTGATAGTCACATTGATCATGATAATTCTGATATTGAGGTTGGAGTGCCATCTAGTGGTGTCTCAGCATAGCATAGAAGAGCAACATGATTAAAAGGAAACTAAATTGCAATCTTTCTTTAAAAAAAAAAAAAACCTATTTACCCCCTGGCTGCAGCCATTGCTCTTTCCCTGGCACAGATTTTCTCATTGAGAAGTCTCTGTGCTGGAGCCGGGAATGCACACAGGACCTGGACTTTCCAATGCTTCTCAATGAGCTGTAGTACATGCTCTTGCTTAGCTTGCAAGTGTAAGAAAATATCCCTGGTTGGCAGATTCCGGAAGCATAAAGCACTTAAAACGGTTCTGTAACGGCAGCAGTCGATTCGTTTTTTTTTTGCCCCCTCCCATAACTATCCTTTTATTAGTTTTGTCAAGGTGCCGGATTTCTTACCTATGTGCCACCATCTTTTTGGAACTGTCGAAATACCCTAGTCCTCTTTTCTTCTCCATGTTTGCCCACAGGAGGCTCTTAGAAAGGATGACAGATGGTATTGCGAGGCTACGAAGGAAGGACTGGATAGAAAGGCGAGTATTCTGGGAAACATTTACTTGTCGAAAGAAGTTGAGCTTAGTTAAGCTCCACACTTTGTCAAAAATTGTCAGGTGTAGCATAAATGCTTAAAATAAAGTAAGTCCTACTTTGTTTTATGATTTTAATCAGAAATGAAGAATGGATTTTGATAAAGGAAATAATTGGAGTAAGGTAAGTTTAGGGAGACATAGCCACTGTATGTAAGTGAAGTATTCCTTTAAATACAATTTTAATGCATTTGATAGTGTTTTGACTTGCATGCCCAAATATAGTTTTTGCACAAATAAAACACAAATGTTTTGCAGAATGCTGCACCATAAGCCTGCCTGCTTAGCCTCTCACTCCACAAAAATACTTCCTTTTTAAATGTAATACATAACTCAGCCATTGACAGTACTGAATGATCTGAATTACAAAGCAACCTGCATTAGAATTACAGGACACCGAGAGAGACATGCAGCAAGGATATAACTACTTCTTTGTCATTTTTCTGACTTTTTGCAGACAGATTATGAATTAAAAGCAGCTCATTCAGTGCTGTTGTGCTGAGCTGTGTACATACAGTTGATTTGATTACAAAATTCCCTTTATCAGACTTTGCTCCAAATGTTCATTTGATAGGTTTCAGTCTCATATTCAGGGGGAGTCTCCTGTATGTGATTAAGGTTCAATTTACAGAGAAAGAGATACAATTGTTTAAGGTAAATGACATCTGATTGAAAGTGAAACCAGTTTTTTTTGGTAAATATTAGGCATGTGCATGGGAAAATAGTTTGGTTCGGCATTCCGAAATTCGGGAATTTGGCAACTTCGGAAATTCAGTAATTTCTGAACTTCGGGACCTCGGCACTTCAACACTTCGGAATTTCGGAACTTCTCTTGCAGCCGCTTGGTAGATAACTCCCTAATTACCACGGTATTAGGGAGTTATCTACCAAAAGGCTGAAAGACCTAAATTGGTCTTTCAGCCAAATTTACTAATACTAAGTAAAAATTAGTGAGCCTGCTCACTGTTAATACATTTTTTTTTTAAAGGGTCCCCCCTCCCGAGCCCCCACTCGTGACGTGCGAGTGGGGGCTTTTAAACTAAAGGGGGGCCTATTGCCCCCCCGGCCCCCACCCCTGAGCGGCGGGTGGGGGCCCTAAATTAGAATAAGGGGGGCTATTGTCCCTCCCGGTCCCCACCCCTGAGCAGCGGGTGGGGGCCCTAAAGTAAAACAATGGGGGGGACCTATTGTCCTCCCACCCGGCCCCTACCCCTGAGCGGCAGGTGGGAGCCCTGAAGTAAAATAATGGGAGGGGAACCTATTGTCCGACCCCCACCCCTGAGCGGTGGGTGGGGGCCCTAAATTAGAATGAGGGGGGACCTAATGTCCTCCCCCCCGGTCCCCACCCCTGAGCCGTGGGTGGGGGCCCTAAAACCTAATTAGGGGTGGGGGGACCTAATGTCCTCTCCCCTGGCCCCCTGCCCTGAGCGGTGGGTGGGGGCCCTAAATACTAATAGGGGGGGACCTAATGTCCTCCCCCTGGCTCCCACCCCTGAGCGGTGGGTGGGGGCCCTAAATACTAATTAGGGGGGAAACCAAATGTCCTCCCCCCGGTCCCACCTTTGAGTGGCGGGTGGGGGCCCTAAATAAAATACATTAACTCCTCCGGGTGACTAGGGGTCCCCAAACCTTAGTCACCCCCTCCCCCAAAAAAATTACCCCCTACCTACCCTCCTCACCCTAAAAATAATGAGGGGGGACCATTTAACTAAGTACCTGAAAAAAAATCTTACCATTTGATGTTTTCTTCTTCTAAAATCTTTTTTTCAGCCCCAAAAAAGAGCAAATAAAAAGCCATAATAACCGACGCACTTAAAAAAAAAAAAAACGAGTGCAAAAAAAATTAATCAATCTTCACCCGGCGAGGGCTCCGCGCAGACTGAGCTCTGCAGGACGGGGGAAGGCTTATAAAGCCTTGCCCCACACTGCAATTAGGCTCAGAGCACTCTGATTGGTGGGTTTAAGCCATCCTATCAGAGTGCTCTGTCAGGTAAATGTAGAGACTTACCTGTCAGGTCCTCATTTACCTGTCAGAGCACTCTGATTGGTGGGTTTAAGCCATCCTATCAGAGTGCTCTGTCAGGTAAATGTAGAGACTTACCTGTCAGTCTCCTCATTTACCTGTCAGAGCACTCTGATTGGATGGCTGGGGGGAGGACAATAGGTCCCCCCAATTACTTTACTTTAGGGCCCCCACCCACCGCTCATGGATTGGGGCCGGGGGGGGGGGAGGACAATAGGTCCCTCCCTTATTTTACTATAGGACCTCCACCCGCCGTGTGGGGGTGGGCAATAGGTCCCCCCTTCAGGTTAGGAGAGGGAGGGGGATGTGTTTTTTTTTTTTTACAGTTTACTAGACATGCCCCTACTTGCAGTATAGCGAGTAGGGGCATAATTTACTAATACTAAGTAATCTTTACTTAGTATTAGTAAATTTGGCTGAAAGACCAATTTAGGTCTTTGAGCCTTTTAGTAGATAGCTCCCTAATACCATGGGAATTAGGGAGTTATCTACTTATTCATTGCTGTCATTCCACTGCCTGGCCAAGTAACTTACATTTTATATGAATGTGTGTTACTTGATTGTTGTAAGTGTTGCAAATGCTTACAGCTGAATCCTGGCTACGTTTGTATACTTTTTATTTAAAATTGTATACAGTGTAACATTCTTCTTCCACTGGGTAAGTATATTAGTACTTAGGCAATACTGTGCTTCGGAACTTCGGCAACTTTGGCACTTCGACACTTAGGAAATTTGGTAATTTCGGAACTTCGGGACCTCGGTAATTCGTCTATTCGGACATTCGGAAGTACCCGAATGTCCGAATTGCCCTAAATTCGTCCGAATACATATTCGTCCGAATACATATTCGTCCCGAAACAAATTGCACATGTCTAGTAAATATGGTAAATTAGCAGCTACCAAACAATGTGAGTCTCTCCCTGACTACACATACAATAGATCAATAAACAGACATGAACTGGGTGCAAGCAGTGGAGCGCTTAAAGTGACACTCCAGGCACCCAGACCACTTCTGCCCATTGGAGTGGTCTGGGTGCCAACTCCCATCACCCTTAACCCTGCAAGTGTAATTATTGCAGTTTTTATAAAATATCAGACAGCCACTAGAGGAACTTCTGAGTTCTTAAATGACTTTTTGGTCGCTTAAACGACGTTGAATGTCCTCACGCTCTGCATTGAATAATGCTTTACTATGGGGAGGTCTAATGCGTGCGCCATTGCCGCGCATGCACATTAGGTCTCCCCCACTGGCTGACGGCGGAATCTGAGCTAGCACCCAGGTGTTTTAACCCCTTCAGCAACATGGGATGGGGGCGGGAGGAAGGGGAGCACTGTAGGATTCTCTAGTGCTAGGAAAACAAGTTTGTTGTCCTGGCACTGGAGAGCCCCTTTATTATTATTATTGCCATTTATAAAGCGCCAACAGATTCCATAGCACTTTACAATATTGTGGGGGGGGGGAAGTAACTATAAATAGGACAATACAAGAAAACTTGTAATTACAACCTAACAACAATAGGTTGAAGAGGACCCTGCTCAAACAAATTTACAGTCTATAGTAGGTGGGGTATAAAACACATTAGGACAGGAAATATCAATCAAATAAGGTGGGAGTGAAGCAGGGCTAGAAGAGAGAGTAAAGTGCTTGCTTGCAGAAGAGAGCAAGAGACAGGTGTGTAAGGTAGGGGTTACTCTGGGAGACCATAAGCTTTCCTAAAGAGATGGGTTTTAAGGCACTTCTTAAAGGATTGAAGACTAGGGGAGAGTCTGATGGTGGTAGGCAGGCTTTTCCATAGGAAGGGAGCCACCCGCGAGAAGTTGCGCGAGTTGGCCGTACGTGTGCGAGCAGCGGTCAGGAAGTGGTCACGGGCAGAGCAGAGGGAACGAGAAGGGGCATACCTATGTATCTGTGAAGAGATATAAGAGGGGCTAGAATTGTTCAGTGCTTTATATGTATGGGTTAGCACTTTGAATTGACTCCTATAGGATACAGGAAGCCAATCTAAGGACTGACAGAGCGGTGAGGTGTGAGAGGACCGACTAGAGAGGAAAATCAGTCTGGCAGCGGCATTCATTACAGACTATAGCGGGCGATACGGCTTTTGGGAAGACCAATCAGGAGAGGGTTACAATAATCCATGCATTAAATTACTAGAGCATGGACAAGCTCCTTGGTCGCATCTTTTGTAAGAAAGGGTCGGATTTCGGGCTACATTTTTAAGTTGGAATCTACAGGATTTGGCAACAAACTGGATTTGAGGCTCAAAGGTGAGGCCAGAGTCAAGTATGATGCCAAGACAGCGTGCTTGCAAGGAGGGACTTGGATGTGATATGTGGAAACCACTGACTTGAAGGGAGAGCAAGAGAGGAGGATCAGTATTAGGAGGAGGAAAGACAAGGAGTTCAGTTTTAGAGAGATTGAGTTTCAGAAAGAAGGACATCCAGTCAGAGATGGAAGAAAGGTAAGCAGAGACATGTTGCAGGACGGCAGGGGAGAGGTCCGAGGAGAATAGATATATTTGGGTGTCATCAGCGTACAGGTGGTAGTGGAATCCAAAAGAGGCAATAAGTTTGCCAAGAAAAGCAGTATAAAGAGAAAATAGAAGGGGACCAAGGACAGAGCCTTGGGGAACTCCAAACGAGACAGGACAAGTGGAGGAGGTATCCTTGGAAAAGGAAACACTGAATGAGCGTTGGGAGAGATAAGAGGAAAACCATGAGAGGACAGAGTCACAGAGACTGAGTGATTGAAGAGTTTGAAGGAGGAGAGCATGATCAACGGTGTCAAAGGCAGCAGAGAGGTCAAGAAGAATTATTATGGCGTAGTGGCCTTTGGATTTAGCTGCGATTAGGTCATTAGTAACTTTGATTTGATTTGAAGAGCAGTCTCAGTAGAGTGGAGAGGGCGGAAGCCAGATTGAAAAGGGTCAAGGAGAGAGTTGGAATTGAGGAAGCGAGACACATGGCTAAAGACTTTCCAGAAGCTTTGAGGAAAAATGGAGCAGGGATATGGGATGATAGTTAGAAGGGGAGGACGGGTGGAGAGATTTTTTTTTCAGGATAGGTTCTACAGTGGCATGTTTAAAGTCAGTAGGGACAATGCCAGAAGAGAGAGAGCAGATTAAAGGACCACTATAGGCACCCAGAACACTTCAGCTTAATGAAGTGGTCTGGGTGCCAGGTCCAGCTAGGGTTAACCCTTTTTTCTATAAACTGTTTACATTAGGGTTAATCCAGCCTCTAGTGGCTGTCTC